ATAAAATAGTTTTATTTATTTATATTTCTGGCTTTAATAAATTTAAGCCCGGACCTCGAGCCATCACGCTAATAATAATAATAATAATAATTTTAAAAATAATAAAAATTATAACAATAATAATAATAATACCCGAAATAATAATTATAAATAGACTAGGGGATACTCTGATCCCTCTTGTACCAGCTTCCCGAATTGGACTCGAACCTGTAACCAACAAACTACTTGCTACCGCCACTACTTTCCAGCCATTAATTAACGCATTTAATTCATATTAATTAAATTACAAATTCTTCAAATTATACTTTGTGTAGCTGGATATCTCTTAAACTTTAGTTTTTACTTTAACTAATATTTATTTGTTTAATATTTATCCAACCTAAATTTGTTCAAAAAAAGTTAGCTCGGGAGTTAAACATTTTCTTATTAAAAAGCGTATACAGAGCTGTAACCCCATCTGATATTCTCAACTAATATGTTTAATGAATGATGTTCTTAAATACATGCAGATCTGATCTATGAGCGTTTCTGCAGAGTTGACTTTCAAATATCACGGAAACACTAAAGCAGGGTATTTAATGCTCGAATCAGCAAATCTAAACTTTTTATGAGGCGCTCAAAAACGAGAACAAAACATTTGTTTCGTGTTGTTCGTTTGGATTTGTGCCACGCCCGCGTATTTATTTTATGGCGCCAGACATTTGGCTAATGGCTGCAACACGATGTTGCCACACACAAAAGGTCAACTGCACAAACTCAAAGACGGAGCGACGTTAATTTTCGAAAACCGACATCACACCGATACAATCAGCCCTTGGGCTGGGGAAATGGTTGCAAAGCCTCCCACCTAGTTACACAAGAAAACACTTAAGAGTTGAAGCTGTGAAAGGTTTTTCACAACTTTCTGCTAATCAAATTCTGTTGCATTTATATTTAGGAATCTCTTTAAAATGTAACACTTAAAGTTCAAGTACAGTTTTCTTGGCTAATTTCATGTATATATACATATATCTATATCGATGTATATATACAGGTATATATTTAACTGGCAGCTGTCTCTCCTACCTGAGCCAATTTATCAATAAAGTGACGCCAGTCGCGGCAACCCTCTTCAACTCATCAATTAAAACTATGGACTTATATACACCAGCTGGGAAAACAGGCACAACGTCAACGTTTCAGTTTAACGAAAACACAAATATAGGCAGTCCACTCCCCTCCCCAAAGGCCAACCCCACAACCCGGCACACGCTAACCGAATTGTTTTCGTTGCCTCGTTTACCCTTTGACTTTCAGAGTTCGTTTTTGGCTGTTGTTGTGTATCTTTTAAGCAGGCGAAATTCGCAAAAATTCTGAAAGCGAACGCAAACAAAACAAACAAATAGACGGGCTCCATGGCAGGGGGCGCTGTGGGGTGTAGTGGGGGTGGTTCCCCGTTGCCCAACCCTTATACAGTTGACCTTTGCACAGTCAAGCTGATGGCTGACTGCCATCCCAGCCCAAGCCTCGCACACCTGCTTACCTGTGCGCCAGCGTCCTTGTCATCATCATCATCATCATCGTATCGTTAGGGTTACCCCATGACCCCCTGACCCGACTACTCCGCTGCTCTCATTCCATCACATTTTATGCCTTGCTGCAAACTTTGAAAATTGTAATTTAATTTGAATGTCATTAAAATTTGTGCGGCGTAAGTTAAGACCCGCTGCACCCTGCAGCCCATCCCTCCGCTCTTGCTTTTACCCTTTCTTGTATATAATTGCTAGCAAAATATAATACACAAAGCATTAAGATTAACATGCTGTAATCAAGGTTAGAAAAACAGGTTGATTCTCGCTGGTTCAAAGCCCGAATTTCTGTCTTTTTTTTTGACATTTTGAACATGACCTCAAACCAAACTAGATGCTCATAAAAAGGTAACCTAGGTCGAAACCAAAATGAAAATATTTATTTTTTCACTAAACATTGTTTTTAATGTGAATAGAAACCGAGTTGGTTCGAACGGTGAGCCGAGCTGCCGAGTATTAAATTTATTTTCTTGCAGTCGATATTATATTAAGAGTTGCATGATCTTACATTTCATATCATATAAATATGTAGAGTTCGCCTCTTCTCGTTCCTTTTTTCTATTATGGGAAATTTAATCAAAATGTTGCTGGCCCAGCGAAAGTTGAGAGCATAAATTGTGTGTGGCATAAAAATTAAATAAAATAAATGAAACTTAATTTCAAAACTGACGTCTTGTGTCTCTCCTTCCCGTGATAACCCCCTCTAAGCTCCCCCTTGGCTCATACCATTCTCATAAAAAAATGCGCATTTTTATGAAAAAGTTTTTAGTGAAGCTGGCAAGTGGAAGCACAGCAAACGACGCGGAAAAACTGCTGCAACCGCAAGAAATTAAGAAAATATTCACTTAGGCACTCGGCGCCTTATCTGCGGGCCAACAGCCGCGACAGGCGCAGACGCTTCTTGCCACTTAGCTAAAATCCACAACAAACAGAAAATAAATTAAAAAAGAAAAAAAACTAAATGCGTTCTGAAACGACTTTTCCTGGAATTGAAGTTGGGCGTTAGGTGGAAACTCTCCCCTAACAAAGTTTTGCAACTGTCAAGTGCAACAGTGACTGAAAAAAGAAAAATCTAACTTGAAGTCTGGCATTCACGAGCAGCTTGTTACAAGAATTCCAATTGACTTAATTTAAGAGAAATGCAGTCGACTCCTAATCACATTTTAATTGTGCTGCAAAATAATATTTTAATAAGCGCGGCGCCAGGAAGCAGTAGACACTGGCACGGCGACCACCAAGAACTATTATACATACATATATATGCATGCATATACCTTTGTACCTAATGGGCTGCCATCATGCAATCCAGCTGCTGGCTCAAGGACAAGGCAGGGGCAGTCAATACGAAATGTTCCTTGCCACGAAACGGAAATAGGAAACCCCAACTGCAGCCTCTGATGGTGTGTGTGTGTGCGTTGCAGCATTCGGGAATTACTCTAGAAATTATTTAAATCGAAAAGGCTGAAGATTACATATCCTTGTAAAGCAAGCCGAAAACGTCCTTGTTGAAATAATAAAATGACTACTAGATAGATTCCTGACAGGTCTTAATTAAATTTCTCTGTCTTATGTTTAGATTTTGTTAACATATCTTCAGTCACTGTCAGTACTTGTTTAAATATCTTCAGCAAAGCATAATTTAAAGGTGATTCGGGCTTCAGCTTAGGTTTGAAACCAACTAATTGCCGTACGGTTCGATTCTTGTACCTGCTTTTTCACATTCATGAGCCCATCTTTTGATTCGAATTTGGCATTTGCACATTTTGCTTTCAATAAAACAATTTAATTGTTTACTAAACGTCGCGCGCCGGTTGTACGGAAAATATTTTAATATAAATATTTTCATATACAAAATACGCACTAAATTTGATCTGGCATTTATCTATGCCTTTTTTCTGAGTTTTTCTACAAAGTTTTGCATTTCAACATAACAAATTTTTAATTAAAATGAACTTCAGTTTTGAATGTGGTTTATTTATTTTTATTATTTTGGCTTAAAACAATTTGGAATTCGATGCTCGAAATGCTTTGATTGAAAACTAGTTTGCAGCCTTGTTAAAAGACAGACAAGTTTTTCATCTAAAAGGATTAATTGGTCCTGGAAGCTGTATGATAGTTGGATGCTGTCATGTCTAATAGGAGGTTAACAAAGCTTGTAATTCGTATGAATAAGTTACCTTGACATTTGAGATCTATTGTGCTCCTATGATCTCTATGTGATATGTGACAGAGTATGTGTATAGCATACGGTTGAGATTGCAGTTGAGATTACGAATTTATGGTAGGCACAAAATCTGGTGAGTGAACAAAGTTGTAAAACACACAAATAGACTGGGAATGCTGTTGAAAAAGAAATATACTTTATAGGGAGAGATCTTATGCCTTTTATATTCTGTGACAAAATTATAGTTTGCTTAAACAGGGATAAATAAATGTAAAGAATTTTTTGAAATAGTTATTGATTTAAAGAAATATAGAAGACAATTAAGTATTATTATTATTCTAATTTTTATTATACATTATCTTTATTATTATTATAATAATTGTCCATATTATCATTATCTTATTTTATTATTATCATTATTCCTAGTATTTTTTTATTATTATCATTTATATTGTGTCTTGGAAAAAAAAATTATTTGTATGATTAATATTACTATTATTTAAACTTAAATTCTTATAATTCTTGATAATTTTATTATTACCCTTCCTTATTAAAAGAGCTGGCTTCTTTGGTATAGTAAATACATCCCTACACAACCCTCACTTTTTGCTCAGTTGCCGAACTCCTCTGCCAATATAAGGGTTTTTTTTCTTTAAGATGATTCTAGCTGAGTCGGTTGCGAAATTTGTTCAAGTTGCTACGACTGGTCTCAGCTTGGATACACTTTGATGTTTATGGTCCTTTAATGCTGTAATTGACAAGTCAAGTGATATTTATATATGTATATATATATATATACGTGAATACATTTTATGATGTTCTTGCATGCGCAAAGGACAGAGAACGCGATACTCGACACTTGAGTGTGGCCCCGATATTAAACATGTAACAAAATATATATATTCAAATATGTATATGTATACGCAAGTGAGTGGTTAGATGAGCCAGTGAGTGGGGCTGGGCTGTGGCACTCAAAACTTTGAATGCGAGCCGAGAGCAGAGCGCAGCCTCCAGTTTTCTATGCTTTTTGCTATTGCAACTTAGCTCGATGGGTAAACATGCAACACACAGACACACACGCAGACACAGCAGCGCAAACATACCTAAATAACGTAGCATACAAATGGGGGCAACCGAGTGGCAGCCAAGCCAAGTCAACATGCACTTGTGGCAGCAACAAAAGCAGCAGCAGAAGCAGCAGCCAGCTGTGGCAGCTGTGGCAACTGGGAAAACTAAGACAAATAACTTAATGTCTTTTCTATTTGCAGTTCAAACAATAGAGCCGCTGCCACGGGGAGGCGCCAAAAAAGTGCAACAGCTGCACAAAAACTGGAAACGAAACGAACTGAAACAAAAGCCCAAAAGTCAAAGTAAACCCAGACAGACAGAGAGGTACAGAGGGCGAGCCAGTGCGAGGGAGACAGAGAGAGAGAGAGAGAAAGAGTGAACGTGAGAGAGACAGAGTGGGGCAGTGTTGGAAGAATGTGTAGTGCAGAGTCCACACGGCAGCTTCAAGTGGCAACAACAAAAACGGCAGCAACAACAAACACAACCGGATAATAAGCATAAGGGGCAACAACAGCAGCAGCAACACCAACAAAAGCTGCAACGAGTGCGTCAAGTATTTGCGGTAGGTTGCAGCGGGGGAAGCGCTGGCGGAGCGCAGGCCTGTGCCAGCAAACAGCACCATAAAATCCAAAGCCCAAAACTTAATCCTCAAACCTAATCCAAAAACCAAACGGAAACAGCAGCAACAGCAACTGCAGCCAGACCGACGTATTGCGGTGGCAAGTGGCAACAAGGTGACGTCACAGGCCGCTAACTAGGACACTCGCAAATCTCGTTAGCCGCACTTGCATCCTTTGCACCCTTCGCATCCGCTTCCGCATCGACATCCGCGACATGGTCTCTCGGCTGCGTCTCCATTCGCTGGCCGTCGCGCTCTTCGTGCTGTCGCTGCAATTGTCCAGCGTCTGCGGCATCATCGATCGTTTGGTGGTGCAGACCAGTTCCGGGCCGGTGCGTGGCCGTTCGGTGACGGTGCAGGGACGTGAAGTGCATGTCTATACGGGCATACCTTATGCCAAGCCGCCATTGGATGATTTGCGCTTTCGCAAGCCGGTGCCGGCCGAGCCCTGGCACGGCGTTTTGGATGCCACACGCCTCTCGGCCACCTGCGTGCAGGAACGGTAAGTTGAGCGGATTGCGCTCGTTTAGCTCTGCAGATGTAGTTGACCTAGATTTCGGCATGCAATACTGCCGTTGACCCAACTAGCTGCCAGTGACGTCATTGCGACTGCAATGCATCCAACTGACAAAATAAATAAATATACATATGTATCTAAATTAAGTGCGTGTCTACCCCATGTATTCTATTTACTTGACATTCAGTTGCTTACACTAAAAATCGAAGAGTAACATATTGAAAATAGTTCGATTAGTGAGCAGCATATTTATTATTTAAATTAAATTAAATAAAAATAATCCAATTAGAATATAGAATAAAATAGAAAAGGAGGAAAAGGAGGAAAAGGAGAAAAAAGTGTTTAAATTGTTGTAGAATAGAGACAGGAAAATACACAACAATATCATAATAAATTATAATAATATATTAAATTACAATTAATAGTTAGGATAGAGAGATAGTGATTGGAAATGACTTCCCAGATGGGGAATATTTTTTCGTCTATCATAACAGCTTCAACATGATTAAAACCTAAAACACAGGCATATATAAATATTTTTTAAACAAGAAATTTTGCATTAAAAATATAAATATATTTCACTTTTTTCAGGGATCGAAAATAATATATTCCATAAAAAATAAAGTTTACAAATAAATGTAAATCATCATATTTCTTAAATCGCCTTCGATCCACTTCCCCAAAAATATTCAGCAAAGCAATTATTGGCTCTAAAACTGCGTTCCTACGGCAGAGACTCTCTAACTGACTATCCTCCTGCTGGTGGGCGTGTCCACAAAATTGGTTAAATTTAACTAGCCCAAGAACAACTTACTTGGCCTAAAAACGGCGTTCAGATGGACAGTCAGAAAAAAAGACAAACATTGCCTAAGACCCGAACCGATTAAATATTATTAAAATTTAGTTTTTTTTTAAATGTTATTTGCTTTAGTTCAATTTAACTGTTATTATGGTAACGACTTTAATTTGACTTATGTGTATATTTACAATACTACTGATCCTACTGTTAAGTCTAACATATTAAAATAAGAATTCCATCGAATAAGAGAGCGTCTCCGAGGACATTCTTTAAATTAGGGCTTGGAGTCTCCAGTTCACTAAGAATTGTGCTTAGATGAACAGAGAGACTGATAGACGGAAATAATAATATAAGTCTATAGAATATTCTATAGAAAAGTGTTTATGTTCTTAATTTCGTTTTCGCATGCATTCCACGAATTGCCATACCTCGCGCCTAAATTTAAAGTTTCTAGTCAAAAACGTCAAACCCAGGCTGATAGACGAAAAATATCTCTATATTCTATAGAAAAATGTTTAAAGATAAAACTTTGAATCTAACTACTTACACAAAAATTAATAGCATACTTTTTGGGATAAGAGTATGCAACCTAAGCCCTTTGGATAGTTGCTTAAACATGTAGTCTTAACTAAGACTAAATTAACTTAATTAAATCACAGAGTAGACTAGAATAATAGAAAAAAACACAGAAGCAGCAATGATGATAGAATTGGAAATTCTTATTTTCCTTGTCTAAAATTTGTTTTATTTTTTATTTGACGATCATGAATGAAATAATACAACTTATTCCACATTTTAGTCTATAATCCTAGTTGCTGTTGTACTAAGTTTAAAATTATTAAGATTCATAATTTGGAAATTTATTTTTATGGCGACTTCGCAATAATTGATTTATTAAATTACATTTATTCTGTTTATTACATTTATTGAATAATATCCTATTTTCTAGAGTAAAATATAAATTGAAAGAGCTCCTTTGGGGATTTGCCTAAATTGTCGAAAAATGCAGAAAAACTAACTTACTTAAAGTTCGGTTTAGTTTGTTCAAAATAACATTTTTAAAGCAATAAAAAAATTAGACAAAATTAGGGTATAAAAAACAGCAATAGTGGACACATATATAATGGATAATTATTAGTTAAGTCTTACTTCATTTTAGTTTAAGCAGATTCTTAATATGCAAATTTAATTGCGTGGCAAAATCGAATTATATGATATATGTAAATATAGGATACCCTTACTATCTATACTAGATGATATTATAAATATATACACACATTACATATAGTGTCTCTATTAGTAGACTGCCTTTAAGCCCAAACCCAAATATTCTCTCTTCACAGTTTGGTCGATATATTCGGAATGCTTAGGCAAGCAGTTTGGCAAGAAAAGCATTTCAGGCATGACTCAAGTAAATTCTATCTTCGATCAATTTCAGATATACAAAAAGTACTTAATAGAGAGACTAACCTGGTCTTTTAGTTTACATAAATCAATTAGTCTCGACTGGAACTCAGTTCTAGGTGGCCACAAATCAGTCTAATGAATTTCAAAAGCTATTCTCATTTGCCACACACAAAGGCATTACGAGTGTGCGTGCGCGTGTGTGTTTGTGTGTGTGGCATAACGGAAATTAGACAAATATAGAGATACAAATAGAGATAGAGATATAGAGAAAGAGAGAGAGAGAGAAGGACGGACGAACGGAGACAGAGTAGAATCGCCTCTTCCGGTTTGCTATAAATTACTTTTTATGCGAAGTGGCAAAGTTAATTTCAATTGACACGAAACCAAACACACCCACAGAAAACGAACCAAACGGATATGAATTTATTGAATCACACTCAAACAAACACTCACAGCCAGCCAGCCAGCCAGCCAGACAGCCAGCCAGAGCGATGCGTAGCGTCCAGTCTTGTTTGAATGCTTGTTTGAATATATGTATATATCGATTCGAGGGACTCAGCATTTATAGGGCAAACGAACTATGTTGCTAGTGGAGGAGGGGGCGGGACAGGTAAAAGGATGTGTACAGATGTGTGTGTGGGTGTGTGTGTGTGCCCTCGAAAAATGGCACAGTGAAAATAAAACAGGCAAATCAGAAGAGTGCAAATAAAAATAAATAGCACAGCTGGTTACTTTGTCGTAATTGGCACGAGCCTTACAACTACACTTAGAGAAAAAGTTGCCTTTAATTGAGATCCATATTGAGCTTCGACAGCCCAAAATTAAAAACGAAAACAACTCCTTTAAGCAAATTATACTTATTTTAAGAATTCTCAAACTAAATATATGCATTTATATATTTGAGTAAGGGAATTAATATAGTTCTTAAACTAAATTTGTATTCTTAAGTTAAGGAAATTTCACACTATTTTGGAAATCGACTAAATTTAAGCACAATACCTGAATCTTTTACTGTAAGACTCTGAATTGATCCCACGTTCTCCCTGCATTCCCTTAGCTATGAATACTTTCCGGGCTTCTCCGGTGAGGAGATCTGGAATCCCAATACCAATGTATCCGAGGACTGTCTGTATATAAATGTTTGGGCGCCGGCAAAGGCGCGTCTGCGTCATGGACGCGGTGCCAATGGAGCCGAGGTATGTGTCAGAGAGTCTTTGCATCCTTTCTCCTGATGTAATCCTCTTTTTGTCTCTCCGGCAGCATTCTGGCAACAAGCAAGCCGACACGGAGCATCTCATACACAATGGCAATCCGCAGAACACGACTAACGGACTGCCCATCCTCATATGGATCTATGGTGGGGGCTTCATGACCGGCTCGGCCACCCTGGATATTTACAATGCGGATATTATGTCTGCCGTGGGCAATGTGATCGTTGCCTCGTTCCAGTATCGCGTGGGCGCATTTGGTTTTCTGCATTTGGCGCCAGAGATGCCGGCAGAGTTTGCGGAGGAGGCGCCCGGCAATGTGGGACTGTGGGATCAGGCCTTGGCCATACGCTGGATAAAGGATAATGCCCATGCCTTTGGCGGGAATCCCGAGTGGATGACATTGTTTGGCGAGTCCGCAGGCTCGAGTTCGGTGAATGCACAGCTCATGTCGCCGGTCACTAAAGGCGTGGTCAAGCGCGGCATGATGCAGTCGGGCACCATGAATGCGCCCTGGAGTCACATGACATCCGCCAAGGCGCTGGAGATTGGCAAATCTCTGATCAATGACTGCAACTGCAATGCCTCCATGCTGAAGGTAAGTAAAGCTCGCTCTCTATCTTTCACTGTCTCACTCGCTCTTGCTCTAATTTTCAATAATCATAAATCCCTTCCCATACAGACCAATCCGGCTCATGTGATGAGCTGCATGCGCGCTGTGGACGCCAAGACCATTTCGGTGCAGCAATGGAACTCCTACTCGGGCATACTCAGCTTCCCATCGGCGCCGACCATTGATGGCGCCTTCTTGCCCGAAGATCCGATGACATTGATGAAGACGGCGGATCTAAAGGATTATGATATTCTCATGGGCAATGTCAGAGATGAGGGTAAGTTTTTAACTAAAGGATTTCAAATCAATTCAGTTCGCATGCAAATATTCAATTTCATATATCTTTGAAAGCCTGGATGCTAATTCAAGCAAAGCCTTCGGGTATTTGTGTCAACTTTTCTTTAATTGCAAAAAGATAGCTCAGTTTTCGGCAAACGTATGATAAGAATATGATAGATCGTCGGTAGTTGAGATATCTACAAAGTGCAATTAAGTCAACCAGTTTATACTATAAATTCTTCTATATACCAAGTTTGATGTATTTAGCTCTAATAATCTTTGAGCTTTTTCGATACTATGAATAAAGAAAACGAGTAAGCGTTAAACTTATGCTGCGTATTGTAAACGAGAATATTTATTTCAAATTTAAAGTTGCCCGCTTTAGTAGTTGCCGAGGTGAACGAGTTCAGGTCTGGATCGACTTGTCGTTGTGATAGAGAATATATTTACTCTTCTTCCTTTTACATACATTTGCATAAAAACATAAAACCCATTTAAGCCATTTTCCACTGAGTTCAGCGTTTAAAAGAAAAACGTACCTTTTTTTTAAGCTTGTGCTGCGAAAATCCTTGGGTTAGTTGAATTGTTGCTTACTTTTTCAGCATGTTTTTTATTGTATTCATAGCGTGGACATCAACTTAATCAAACTTGGCTCGAGTTTCTGTCCAGTGCTTTTTAAACCCCAGCTCGCTTGCCCTCTCTTGGCTAACAATAGCCTGACACCCGCCCATCACCCCTTCCCGTCTCTGCAACCCTCTTTTCCTCATTGTTGCAATTGTATTTTTGGCAACGCCTTTGCTGCTGACGTCAGCAGTGTGCCAAATTTTCGCAAGTGGCAGCTGCGCTTGGCCAAAATGTAGCTGCAACCAGTCGCCATTATGTTCATGCTGAGCCAACCCCCTCCCCCCATGCCCTTTATCCACCCTGCCAGTGTCACATTTGTTGCAGCTGCATCCATTTGTGATTTTATTACTTTTTGTTTACTTTTCTTTTTTTCTGTGCTCTTTGCTGCCACCGCAAGAGCCAAAGCTTTGTTGCCGTCGTTTTATGTTGCCGCCCGTTGTGGGCGTGGCAGCCGCCTCTTGGCCGCTTATTCGTATGCTTTATGGGCCATTGTACATTACTGGCTTACAGACAAGTTTGCCTGGCTTTCTGTGTTGTTGCCTCACAAAAATGCACTTTGTGTAATGGCTGCGGCTTGTGGCAGCTCACTCGAAACGTGCCACAAATCAAGTAAGCTTTAAGAAAAACTCGACCCAAAGTCAAATTTGTCAACGCAGCTGCAAACAGCAGCCAGCAGCAGGCGCCTGGCAAAACCGAAGGAAACTTCAGCGCATACGCATGAAATTCACGAGGGAATTGCCAGACTCATACACGCAGCACACCCTCGGGAGGGGCTTCACTCGAATCGGGGACAATGTCAGGCGGAAGCGCCGAAGCTCCCAGCCATGCGGAGCGGCATCATAAATTATTTAAATATATACCGTTAGCTGCAACGGCAGCTGAAATTCCTAGTTCAGCATGTTGCACCCACTAAATGATGGGGCACGTGCTGCAGCTACTGCTCTAAAGTCTGCCCAGGGGCTGGGGGCATGGTTGCTCAGTATATCAGAGTTAAATAGAGACAAAAGCTGTCTGACAAAAAGTAAATTGAGGAGCATTTCGAGTGCTCTTTAGAGAATATTTGTTTACTTGGTTATAGAAAAGATATAAATTTGTATGAATTAGTTAATAAATTGATATAAAGACTAAAGTTGTCAGACGGAATATAAAATGGGGAGTATTTGTATTGCACTTTAAATAAGATTTATTTTTGCTTGATTTATTAAAAAATTGAATTTTAATTAGTTAGTTAATGGGTTAATGAAAAAATCTGTTCGATGAAATGTATAACAAATAGAGATCTAAATGGGAGGCATTTGGAGTCCACTTTTAGGAGTTTTTTTTTACCTGGCTATTATACATTTTAATTAATTAGTGTATGAAAAAAAGAGCTTAACAAAGTGTAGAAAATTTCCATTGAAATTAAATATTAATTTAATTCATTTGAACAAAAAAACTATTATAATATGCACATTTCGAATGCATTTAATGCTTGAATGAACAAAAAAAATATATAATATTCGTTTTTAATTTAACATCAATAAAGTATAGAAACATGATTTTTTGTGGAGTCCCGAAAAGTGAATAAAATAATAATTGAAGAAAAAGCTAGTTTGATGCATTTAATAAAATAAAATAAAACATGATGCATTTAATAATAAAATAAAATATAACATAGATGAAAATATGAATATTAATTTTTAAGTAAAACATTTATTATTTTTAAATCAAAACATATTTTATGAATATGAAGAAATTTGGCAAACGTATGTTTATGTTACGATTATGTTATGTATTGATTATGTTATGTATTGATTATGTTATGTTATGATTATTTTATGCTATTATAATGTTATGTTATGATTAAGTCAATTCTTCTTAACGAGCCTTAAAGTTCAACTTAACTAAGTCAAAATATTTAATCTATGTAAAAAGTATTTGATATTAAATTCCTTTTTATTTGTAAAGCCATCTCACTCTGGCACGCTTAAAGAACCGTTTGATTTTTAAGCTCCCAACAACTGTGTATTTAATTGAAATCGAAATATTCGCCCAAGCCGAAAAGAATGCAACGATTTTTTCTTCATACTTGAGCGCCGCTGGCCGTTCGGCTTGGGCTGCGGCGGCTGCTGCGTTTCCCACCATTTATTGCGTGTGCGTTTGTGTGTTGTGCTCGTCCTAACGGTAATGCTTGAGCTTTGTGTGCATTGTTCGCATTATTCGTGCCAAGCCGCGCGCTATTTAAAAAATTTCCGTTCGTTTTGCTTTCTCTTTCTCATTTATTTTTTTTTTGCGAACTTTACGTTTGTGTGTGTTGGGTTTTGTTTTCGTATAACAGATTCTCGTGCGCTTTGTGTGCGTTTTCTTTAGATTTGCTTCGCTTTCATTTTTGTTGTTGCCATTGCTGCTTCGTCATTTCCAGGCGGCAGGCACCGAATCACACAAGCACACACACAGAGACACGTGAACACTTACGCACACACACACACACACACGTACAGAGACATAAGCACTGGCACTGACACACACGGCTTTAGGCACTGGCGCTACAGACACGTGCGCTTTTCTGCTCACTTTCACTCATTGCTTGCAGCTCCTGCTGCTGCTGCCGCTCTCTCTCTCTCTCTCTCTTCTCCTTTCTCTCTCTTTCTCTGTCTCGCGCGCTTTTTCGTAGACTCTTTCTCGCTCGCTTGTGTTGTCGTGTTATTGTTTTTGTTTTTTGCTGCATATTACAGCCACTGGCGCTGCTGCTGCTGCTTTTCTGCTGCTCCTGCTGCTGTTTCTAGCTAAGGTGTGCGTGCCCACAAGACGACCACAACGCAAGCTACGGTTCGCATATAACTGTTCCTCAATGCCTGTATGTGCGTCTGTGTGTGTTTGCGTTTGAGTGCTTGTGAGTTCAAGGTCATCTAGTATTTGAAACAAAACACAATAGATTACAAGGCGCCGCGCACACAAGAAACATCTTAATTTTGTTGTTGGCTTCAAATTTTAAAGCTGTTGTTATTTTCACTGAAAGTTAACTCAATAAAACCACAATCAAAGCAAGGACTAGTGCTGGTTTTGGCGACCTTTCTATTTGTATTATTATGTATTTTGTTTATATTTTTATTTAAGATAAGATTTATGCAAACACATTTTAGTTTCTATATTTATTTTTATGATATAAAATTTCAAAAGTCCGTTTCTCATAGTGTCATCTGTTCAAAATATTGTCATGCTTTTCCTTGTGGAAAAATGTCCGCATCTTCCCCAAGCTTACATCTCCTTCACATTCTGATTCTTATTTAAGTAACACCTCGTCATATCGTGCAACACTGACCTTAGGCATTTGCAAAACGTCGCTTATAGTAATTTACCCCGACCTTATTGCATTTGATATCATTATAAAACGTCTGCGTAACTGATGGAAATTCTATTTAAAAGCGACTTAGCCAAATGTTTGTTCCCAGAAAGCAGTCGTATTGGATATAATACATGCCCTCGAGCTGTATGACTGCAACTCAAATGTCAACACTTAACTCACGCACACTGGGTAGAGCCACAATAAATGCTATGAAAATAGTAATACTTACAATCATTTTCGTGACTGTTGATGAAAGCACAGCCAGGAAGCTTAGAAAACCTAACTATTTTACAGTTCTTACCTGCCAGTTGTTGTTGGAGTGAAAGAAAATTATTGTTCGACGTCCTCCTTAATTGTTTTCTTTTCTCAACTAAACGACTTCTTACTCGTTTTGAATTAAATGTTTTTTGCTTCATTCAATTTGCACATAGTTATGCACCACTGTGCGTGCGACGTGAGACTTTCATAATTGGCTGCAATTTGAGGACAATTTCTTTAAACGATGCTCGATGCTATGATAAAATTAAAAATTAATTAATGGCGAATAGTGGAGTGTGTATGTGTGTGATTTTTCCGTTTTGCGTTATGCGCATATTTTGATAATATTTGGGGCTTGAACCAAAAAGGATTCAAACAACAACAAATTGGTTTCAGTCAAACTTATTGTTGGCTGTTGGCATGGGAAGGCGTGGGGATGACACACATTTCACAGCCATATAGACTGCACACACACACACACGCGCAAACACACACACACACCCACAGCTCTTGGCAGGCAGTCTATTGTTGCTGTTACTGTTGCTGTTGTCGTTGGCTCATAGGCAGCAATTATGGCTCGTTAGTGTGTTCGTATTTGAAGTGTGCCGGAGACAATGCCAGCGGCAACAACAACAAGAACAACAGCTGACACAACGCAAGCAACGACAACAACAAGTGCCATAAAAATTAAGTTAATAAAAGGCAACGAGACGCTTTGTTCTCGTCCTTGTTGTGGCTGTTGTTGTTGTTGCTGTTGTATCTTTTGCTTTTGTTGTGGTTGATTTTGTTTATTCTATTTTACCCTTTGTGCACCTGTACAACACACATTGTTGTAATACCCTGTACCCATCGAAAAAAGCTAAAAACAAGGATGCTTGTGACAATTGTATAAAACAGGCAGCGGGAGACATCTCTGAGCCGATAAAGTTTTTATATTCTTCATGTCTGTCTGCAGTCTGTAGTTAGAATAAAGGACCTCCTATTGCACGCGCAGAATAATGTTGTTTCAAATCATCGATAACTTTTTCCTTTTTTCATGAAATCGATAAAAATCAATTGGCTTACATAAATGTCGATATGTAGGAATATTTCATAATATTTTCTGAAACTACCTTACAAAATGGAAAAAAAAATCATTTAAAGAGTTTCAGTGTACTTGTGTTTGCCATGAAATTTGTTTTTGGACCGCGGACTAGAAATGTCGCAATTATTGAAGAATGCAGCTCCCTGGCACAGCTGCAGCTGATGTAAATCAGTGCTGGGTCTGCACTTAGGGTATGACTTAGTCGGTCACGAACGGCTGGAGTACTCTCACTTATTGTCCTGTTGTGGCTTTGGTTAATGCATCGTTTGGTGTCCTTGGCACGGTTCGTTGATTGCGCCCCCGCGGCAGTTTCTAGTGGCAATTGTTTTTCGACTTGCCCCATCGCCAGCTGGCATACATACTTATTATCTGGCCAGTCATGTTTTAATCATCCCTATCTCTCCCTCTTTCTCTCTCTGACTTTCCTTGCAGGCACCTATTTCTTGCTGTACGATTTCATCGATTACTTTGATAAGGATGATGCCACCGCGCTGCCACGTGACAAGTATCTGGAGATTATGAATAATATATTTGGCAAGGCAACGCAAGCGGAACGCGAGGCCATCATATTTCAGGTGAGTCACACACACATACAGACACTCTCACACACACGCTTGCGTATGGTACTGTGTCTGACGTATGTCTAAACTCAATTGGGGCCAAAACGCATCATTGGCTTTGGCTGCCTTTGTTGGCAGCTGTCAACTGCAGCGAAGTTGTGCCGCTTGTAACCACACACAACTTTGCCGCTGCCGCTGATGCTGCCGCTGTGTGTTGCAGTTGCAAAAAGTGGCAGTAACCGGCCACGCCCTAACCCAAACATACGAACAGCCCACCAACAGCAGCTGCGTAAACGAGTTAAAAGTGCCGTCAATTTGATAAAATTGCATTACGCAAATTTATTCACTTTATTTGCACTGCGGCGCGGAAATTGAATTAAAGCCGCGCTGCATGTTCATTCAATAGCGAAATTGTAGATAAGAAATAAACCAGATATGGCACACAATCAGCTACGATAATTGAAAGCATGCAATCAGCAACTACATAAGAATTAAGAATTAAAAACTGGCGGCATGCAATCCAATTTGTTTTTTTAATGAAATCAAAGAGAGTCAGCCTATTTTCTGTTCACGGCAGATTTGAGAATTCCATTTAAATAGACCATAATAATAATATTTGCGTGATAATCCACATAGATCAGCGCATCTTATAGGTTAGCTAAAAAGGTTATTTAACATAAATAATAATTTTCACTTCAATTCAAGTTAAGATTCAGCCTGAACCGAACTCGAAAAAGCGCAAAATGTTGTTAAGTAATTAAACTTGTAATAAGTAATATATAAAGCTATTACTGCTAATAAGTATTGTATAAAATGAAATTTTCGGCACTAGCGCGAAATAATTTAACTTAAAATATAACAAGAACAAGTAAGAGGCTCTTGTCGGAAGCTCACGAAGAACGGACGGACGGATGGACGGACAGACAGACAGACAGACGGACATGGCTAGACCTACTTTATGGGGTCAGAGATGCATTCTTCTGCCTGTTACATACATTTGCACAAAAACATTATACCCCTTTTACCATTTTCAATGGGTTCAGGTTATTAAAATTGCCTTTGATTAATCTTGTTTTTGAAGTTGGAATTAAATATATTTTAAGGGTTATAGGGGCCATTGGCTAAGACAAGCCTACCTATACCGTTACCTCAATATCCGAGTCTGTCAAGTGCTTGAAGGACTCGCTAAAAATTATAATTTAATTCAGATTTTACTACAATAAGTTGATTATCTTAAATGTATATAAAATGATATCTCTTCGCCTCGATTTTATTTACAGTACACCAGCTGGGAGGGCAATCCAGGCTATCAGAATCAGCAGCAAATTGGACGCGCTGTGGGGGATCACTATTTCACCTGCCCCACCAATGAGTATGCACAGGCGCTGGCCGAGCGAGGCGCCTCCGTGCATTACTATTACTTTACACACGTGAGTAGTGGGTGGTTTTGGGTGGTTTGGTTCGAGAGACCTGGGTCTGGGTAGAAGGCATTGCCACTGCGACAGTGGCCCGTGGCCGCAAATCATTAAATATTTCACAGCCTTTGACACGTAAGACGGCGTCGGAGCGCGTGTGTCCAATCGAAATGCGGTCAAATGAGGCGCCACTAGCGCAAAGCGAACACACACATACAAACACACACACACACACACACAAGCAGCGTGAAAAGTATATACAGAAAAAACTGAAAGTAAACGCAGCCAGGTCCAATTTGTTTGTCATTAAAATTGCACACAAGGCTAATGGCGAGCCGTGCCTCAGGGCTTACCTGCAACAGTAACTGCATCAACAACGGCAACAGCAACAACTGAAACAGAAGCACAAAATGTCCTGATGACTGTCTACATAATTTATATCTGACGGATGGTTGTCAATCCCATAGACTATATAAAAAAGGCAGCCAGATGAATGCAGATTTAAAACTTTTCATCATTGTGTAAAATGGGCAAAAACAGGCATTCGACCTATATATATATATATATATATATATATATTGATATTCCATATATATATATATATATAAATATATATTCCACATAGCAACTGACCTAAGAAGGCCTGGTAATAATACCCAGTTCTTTTGGACTTACACGATGCCTGAGAAATATTAATTAAATAATTTGCAATTAATTTTTGGTACTCAAGTATTTATGAAGATTATCGTCAAGTTATTCTAATTTAATTAAATTAACTTAAAAATTTTGGCTCAACATAAAACAAGAAAGTAAAATACCTTAGTAGAAATTCGTTTTACGGTTTTGCAAATGTGCGAGAACTGTGAAGCTCTTAAGTACTGAGCAATATAAAGACTCATTTTCGATCTAATCTTCCTAAAGCGCTGCATAAGATAGCTAGATAGGATGATAAAATTTGGCTCATAATCAACATATCTCATTAAACCAAAAAAGTTTTTCATACAAGAACCAACTTTTCGACCATTCCATATGATGCCAGATTTATGGTAGATATAGATGGATGCAGTGCAATGTGCCAAAACGATAGATTTAAAACTGAGAGGCTAATTCGCATACAAACAGACCGACAGACAGGCAGACGTGGAATATATACTTTATGGGGTCCGAGATGTCTTTATCTATGCGTTACGACAGAATTATATAATACATCTTATATAATACATCTTATATAATACATCTTACGCATTTTTATTGAGCACATATTTTCTAATACCACCTAATACCATATGGAAAATGTTTATTCCAAGTCGAAATCAATATTATAACACCTCCGAATTTGACGCCTAAAAAGCGGTCGTCGTCACTGTCTTTGACTTGACAAACAAACAAAGTTCTGGCCATGTCCTGGCAACCTTGGCCGCCATAATTATGGTAACAAAAAGTTTCGCTCAATACACACCCATAAACGCACAGGACACACACACGCACGCACGGGACAAGGACAGCGCCAATTAAACTACACGCACTGCCAACTGTCCTGCGCCTGGACTTGGGTCTGGGTCTCGGTCCCGTGCCTGTGCCTGTGCCCGGGACGGAGACACAGACATGGATACAGCTCAAGCAGTCGTTACAGGGGACACGAACTGTAGTCGCGTCCGGCTGTTGTGTGTGTGTGTATTGGGTGGGGGCGTGGCACTGCCTAATGAAACTTCAATTTACGAGGTCACGGCCTGTTCGGCCCGAACGTGTGGGACATAATTTGAGTCCGTTATTTGCTTAAAGGACTGCGGCTGCTGTAGCTGTCTAATGATTAACAAATAGGGAGTACGCCTTAAACAGTGCCTGGCATTCGGTATACGCCCGCGTGGGCCCCTATTGATTTTCTCTTAGCGACAATGCGTAAATGTTAATAGGTAATTACAGCTGAGAGATGATATTGAGTCCTTGTCCTTCCATTGATTTATCATAATAAATAAAAAAATACATATATATATATATGTATATGTATATATATGTATATGCATATATATATATACATATATATACATATGTGCGTTTGGCACACACAAATTGATGTTTGGTCTAAAAAAATCAATATTACGCATACGCCGCGTGTGTTGCGCGACGGCAGCGTCTTGAGACCAATGTTAATCAAGCACTTGCACTCTTTTTGCTTGTTAAGTCATTAAATGTGCTTGTGGCTATTATTTATACCCTGTGCGTAAGCCGAAAGAGAGCATATAGGCTGCGTGGCATGTTGGTTCCGTGCACGCCTCAAGTGCACTCCCTGCTTTGAGGTTCGGCTCGTAAAAATATCCCATATTCCCAGTGGAATTATAGTCTTAGATTCCCAAATCCAATAATCAAGAAAACTTATTACGGTTTATTTTTTGAACAGCGTATTTTACAGTCGATTGCACAGGACTGCAATGCTTTGTTTTATTTGTTTTCATTTGATGGAGCACACGACAAGGCCAACAGGCCAACAACGAAAAGTTAACGTACGGCCGTTGCATTGTTCATATCAAATCGCCTGTTAATAATCCAACAGTAACTAGCAGTGGCAAGTGGAAAGTGGCAGCTGGGAAGCGGCAGCAGCAACTGGGCCGGCGAAATGAAAAGCAAATGAAATTAGTTTTAATTACAGCCTTCAAGTGGCTGCAAAAAACTCGTAACTCATTTTGGCCATAAACGAGGTGGCCATAGCGACCTTTGGCCCTGGCCGCGCAAAATGGGGTCGCCAGCTGGGCAGCTGCTAAAGTGCCTGCCAGATTGTCTATTGCGATGGCTGCCAGTGGCAACGGGGCGCCAACACTTGACAGCTTCTGCTGCAGCGTGCAACGTGCCTGGCACTTAAATAACTTCTGGCTGCCCCATTCAGAGCGCCAATTGCCCATTCCGGGTACAAAGTCCGACTGCGAAGTTCTGGGCTTTAATCAAAAAGCATAAAACAGGCTGTAGTCGGGGGCGCTTGACTAACAGATACCCTGCATCCAGCTGCTGTTCAAAATATTCTAGCTTATTTCTATATACACGCACCTACTTACTAAATCTGATATATCTAGCTCTCAGAATATTCGAGTTATGCTCTAAAAACCATTTATCAAATATATAATATTTATTGATAATACGAAATTGAGAGGAGATACCGAAAAAAAAAACTGATGAGCTCGATCTGAGTATGGCGTGCGGGAAAATATATTTCATGTTGGAAGTGTTTAGCTTTTGCAGTTTCCCAGATCGTCATGTAATCACAGGCGGCCAGACGGAGATAGAGAATCTTGGATGGACCATCTCAACTGTCTTGATCATTAATATATATGCTTCCTTCTGCCTGTTACAAGCATTATCTTAAAATCATAGAACTCTTTTCATCTCTTTTCAATGGGTTCAGGGTATAAAAACAACTTTATTTTGCCGCAAAATTCTTCATTATTTGCTCCTAAAGGCGTGAAGGGTCCGTCTGTCTGTCCGTCTATCTGTTCGTCTATTTGTCTGTATGTGTGTGTTTGAGGAGGTAAACTCAGTGGCGCATACATTTTGAACAACTTGGCAGTTGCTGCATCACTGCCAGCCACGAAAACACCATTATCCCTGGCACATCCTGGCTGCAATTCGTTTGGTGATTTGGCCAATTCGCTGCCAGTTTCACAGTTGCTGCCCAACAGACAAATTGCTTAAGTGGACAACACTTCAAAAACTCTGACAATGGGCTGCATTTGATCTTGGCCAATTGGCCGAAACTATTAAGCTTAATAAAGTTTTTAATTGTAAATTGTAAATACCGTTTTAATAGTCCAATAAAAAACGGCTTCAAATTTTCACTCATAAATAATTGAATGTATATATTTATATTCTCAATGATAATAAATATTACAAAAAGCTTACATATACTTGCTCAGGCCCATATATATCTATCTATAAAACAGATTGCTTAATATAAATACGTTGACAAAATATTCCTCTTCTTTCTCTAATTCCCCAGCTAGCTAGATTTTCTACAATATTCAGTTAAATTGGCTAATTACAACCTTTAATCAAAGTCGATTATGAACTGTTTACTTTTCACATAGCTTGACCCACTGTGCACTTGAGCTGTCCATCAGTTGCCAGAGACCAAATTGCTGTGGTTTTGTGTCCTGTCTTTCTTGTAGATATAGTTGTTGTTGTAGGTGGCGGTTGTGGTTAATTAAGAAATTATGGGAGCTGCCATTGTGTGGCAGCTAACCGACCAATACTTACCCAAACCTAACAATTCCAGTTAACAATTTAAACGGCATATGCGTAATATGCCACAAGAATTTATTTGTGCTCCTTGTAAAATACCTGTGTGCTCACAGAGGTAGAAAAAGGCATTTGCAATCCCATATGGTATTAATGATCGACTTCGAAGTCAATTGGATGAAAAAAAAGAACAACCAAAGTTTTCCATACATCAAGGCACGAATTTATAGCTTAACAATGTAGAGCCTCTAAACAGGCATAAAGCGAAAATTGTATTCCCATTTTGTTAGCACGAAGGGGTGAATCGTGAAGTTAGTGTAAAACAACTGCCAGATGAATTTTCACAAATATATTTGAAAATTTATTTGAAATCTAGCAAGTGAAATCAGATCGCAAATAATAATAATATAATAATTTTTAAGAAACTTTCAACTGACCATATGCATTGAAATTAATGGTAATGTAATTATTTTTTTTGGCCATGAGTGTATATATAAAAGAAAGTTCGAATATTCGTAACGCCAGCTCGGTGCTGCAGAATTTTTGATTTTTTTTCGCCACATGCTGCGACAATATGTACAATTTACAAAGAGTGCGCGCGAGGGAACGAAATCAAATAAATAAATAAAAGGGTGGATGTTTATCTGCATAATTTCTGGCTAAGTTTACGTCGATTTCCCAGTCCCCTGCTCATACACACTCACTCACTCATTTATTCTCTTTGTCTCTGTCTCACTCCAGCGCACCAGCACATCGCTGTGGGGCGAGTGGATGGGCGTGCTGCACGGCGATGAGATTGAGTATTTCTTTGGGCAGCCGCTAAACACATCTCTGCAATATCGACCTGTGGAGCGGGAGCTGGGCAAGCGTATGCTCAATTCGGTTATTGAGTTTGCCAAGACGGGGTAAGCTTTCGCAGAGCTTTTATTTGAGCTCTGGCTGCCATAAAACTAGCGAGTACAGCAACCAGTTTTGCTATAACGCGAGCTTTTCTCTAACGCCTTGCAGCAATCCGGCACAAGATGGCGAGGAATGGCCCAACTTTTCGAAGGAGGATCCTGTGTATTATATTTTCAGCACAGACGATAAAATTGAGAAACTGGCACGTGGCCCACTCGCCGCGCGCTGCTCCTTCTGGAACGATTATTTGCCTAAAGTCAGGAGTTGGGCAGGTGAGTAACACCCTATAAAAGAATATAGTTCCAGGTCTATTTGATTTATAGCAGCTTCCATAAATGCCTTTTATGGTCTGCTTGTTAGCTGTAAAGGAGTATATTGAAACTTGAACTGTGTATCTGTAAATACTTGGACAGATGCCCCTCCGATAAAGTAAATCGGGACAATATATATCTCTTAAAGCTTAAAAACTCCACTAAAAATTTCAAATGGACACATTTAAGAGTTGTCGATCCAAAAATCAACACGAAATTTTTTTTTGTTTTTTTTTTTTTTATTTTGTATTATCAATCATCTTTCAGCTAAGCTAGAGCCTTTTCAATCCCTAATATTATCACCCTGTAAAAAGAGTATTACTCAGTCGGCTCAACGCAACTGCAATATTTTTACTTATTTCTCTGTTGGGATTAAGTACAGTCTGTTGACATTTTATATCTTACTTTTGTTGCCTTATGTGTATGAATTTTGGCAAGCAATTAACATACACTTTATAGATATTCTTTATGCGCGACACACGCCTCCAGCTGCTGCCTGTCTGGCTGACCGTGCCACACCTCAATAGCTCAAATTTCAGCAGAACAAATACCTGCTTGTTTCCAGATACCCTGCAATGTGAATAGACCATTTGATAGGTGAAGATCTCAAGTAACTGACTTCCTTATCTGTAGAATTTATTCCGAATAGACAGTTGTTAAGTTTTGTAAGGCTTGGACTTGAGCGTTGCGCTGGGTGTGTTTTTTTAAAACCAGTTTTGATACAATTTTTGATCACATTTTTTCCTAATCTTTGTATTTTTATATTTTTGTTGTCATTTTTGCTAATTACGATCTCTAATTACAATATCTTGGCACAAATTAGGAACTTTTTTTTAGTCCAAAGTGTGAAAGCTCTCTAATAATTTATTCAAGGAACTATCTTATATGCCCGAATATATGTGTGGATTTTTATGCAGAGAAAAGCCAACTTGTTAATGAAATTCTTTTTATTTTCATTCAAAAATTTGTTTATAATAAACTTTTTATTGTTCATTTATTTTCAATTAAATAAATTTTTTATTTAAATATTATTTAAATGTACCATAGTTCAAAATAATTAGAGACGCACTGCAGGGTATGAGTCTGTCGGTTTACTCGTAATTGTGTATATTTTATTTATTTTTTTGCAATATATATATTCTTTTTCTGGGTCTGGGAACGCGTGTCAATTAGCCTGACAATTTGCCAGTTAAATGCAGAAAGTTAACGCTAAACGCGTTCCATTTGCGCGTCAGGTTGATTGAGTATCGCACGGAAACGCAGTTATGTTGCTCAGATACCTATAGATATATGTTTTTTTTTTTTTTGGCAGTTAGTGGCAATCGTGAGTCAGAATCAGCATTTCATTTCGGTGAAAGATTTTTATAGTTTTTGCTCTTTTAATTTATTGCATTTGTGCGTAGCCAGCGTTCACAATTTTATTTATGGGCAATGTCAGTATCTTAAAATGTGCTCATCAATCAGTGAAATGAGTTTCGCAGTTTCTCAGTCTCAGCTTGCGTCTGACTAACCGACTAACTGACCAACTGACAAAGCGCGAACGACTGACCGAGAAATGAAATTCAAAAATACGACAACACGGCCACAGTATGCATATGCATATGCCCAACTGACAATGATAAATCAAGCTATATATATACTTTAATTTAAATATATATACATATATTTATGTAGTTAAAAGACTTAGCTGTGTAAACAACAGTTGGTAATATGCATTAGTAAAGGTGGGCGGCAGCGAACTGTAAAAGTGGCCATTAAAATGCGTGGACAAGTTACTGTGTTGTCTGGTGAAAGATGAATCGCAGTCGCAGTTAAAATTTCTGTAGCAGTCGCAGTTGTTGTTGTAGCTGTGACTGTTGCCAGTCGAAACAACTTGAACGACCGCGCCAAGATGTCTGGTCTGGTTGGGTCTAGTCTGTGGGCTATACAACTCTGCGCTCTGATACAAAGGCGAATTAGTGTTTCACAAATTAATAAAACTTAATTTATGTTAATTTTGTGTATTGTTTGTGTGTGTATTTGTGAGAGTATCTGTTTTCAACATCTTTGCTTGTAGGGGGTATAATGATTTTCTTATGATATTTGTAACGTGTAGTCTTCATTATGTATATATATTCTTAATCTGTTTATCTGTCTGTCTTTCAAACTAGGCGTTCAGCTTAAAGCTAGACTAAATCCTTACATTTCTGTTGCAGACAGTGCTTATGTGTGTGCTGGCCAATTGCAGTGGATACCATAGGATTGATCCGTCACAACCTTTCCCCTAAAGTCTTAAGAACCTTTCTGTTTTGTAAGATATTTTGACCAAACCGATCCATTAGTTGCTTTACTAGTCTTCTCAAATATTTGTAAAATCTTACCCTCATAGGAAGCATATAGCCTCCATAATCATCTGTGCTCGGTAACAGGGCTTCTATATAAAAATACTTTAAGCGTCAAGGGTATTTAGTCTCGTCATGACACAGCCAGCAGTTTTTACTTGTTTTTTTTTGAGTACCATTTTACAGATAAGTCAGAGTTGGAGTCTGCAAATGAATCTAGCCCGCGGGGGGGTCCAATCTGAGCAAAGGGGCTGTGCTGGCGGGAATTGTTCATGCTTAGGGCCTATATCTAATCTACAGACTGAAAATGGCTCACAAGTAAAAGTTGAGCCACTGTGGTGTGGTGAGTGGCGGTCAGTGTGGTTACCGGTTTTCTGGCTAATTAATTAATTTGCATTTTGATATGTAGTGGTTGATATATTTTATGGGCATCGCAGCGCTTGCCAACACGCGCCTTATTTGCCATAATGAGCATTTAGAATTTCACCAAAAAATGCGCGGTTTGTGCTAATCCACTTAAAAAATAACAGAACTGGTGCCGCGCCTCATCCTGAGCACTCCAGACTGGCTGGCACCACACACAAGCAATCAGTTTATCATTATCGACAGCTCATGCAGGTCTTAAGCTGAAGCGTAAGACCAGATAAAAATATAAATACAGATACAGATATATATACATATACAGATATATACACATATACACATACATACAGAGATACATATATATACACAGATAAAGATATATACATAGATACAGATATATACACAAATTCAGATACAGATACAGATACAGATACATACAGATACAGATACAGATACAGATACAGATACAGATACAGATACAGATACAGATACAGATACAGATACAGATACAGATACAGATACAGATACAGATACAGATACAGATACAGATACAGATACAGATACAGATACAGATACAGATACAGATACAGATACAGATACAGATACAGATACAGATACAGATACAGATACAGATACAGATACAGATACAGATACAGATACAGATACAGATACAGATACAGATACAGATACAGATACAGATACAGATACAGATACAGATACAGATACAGATACAGATACAGATACAGATACAGATACAGATACAGATACAGATACAGATACAGATACAGATACAGATACAGATACAGATACAGATACAGATACAGATACAGATACAGATACAGATACAGATACAGATACAGATACAGATACAGATACAGATACAGATACAGATACAGATACAGATACAGATACAGATACAATACAGATACAGATACAGATACAGATACAGATACAGATACAGATACAGATACAGATACAGATACAGATACAGATACAGATACAGATACAGATACAGATACAGATACAGATACAGATACAGATACAGATACAGATACAGATACAGATACAGATACAGATACAGATACAGATACAGATACAGATACAGATACAGATACAGATACAGATACAGATACAGATACAGATACAGATACAGATACAGATACAGATACAGATACAGATACAGATACAGATACAGATACAGATACGATACAGATACAGATACAGATACAGATACAGATACAGATACAGATACAGATACAGATACAGATACAGATACAGATACAGATACAGATACAGATACAGATACAGATACAGATACAGATACAGATACAGATACAGATACAGATACATATACAGATACAGATACAGATACAGATACAGATACAGATACAGATACAGATACAGATACAGATACAGATACAGATACAGATACAGATACAGATACAGATACAGATACAGATACAGATACAGATACAGATACAGATACAGATACAGATACAGATACAGATACAGATACAGATACAGATACAGATACGATACAGATACAGATACAGATACAGATACAGATACAGATACAGATACAGATACAGATACAGATACAGATACAGATACAGATACAGATACAGATACAGATACAGATACAGATACAGATACAGATACAGATACAGATACAGATACAGATACAGATACAGATACAGATACAGATACAGATACAGATACAGATACAGATACAGATACAGATACAGATACAGATACAGATACAGATACAGATACAGATACAGATACAGATACAGATACAGATACAGATACAGATACAGATACAGATACAGATACAGATACAGATACAGATACAGATACAGATACAGATACAGATACAGATACAGATACAGATACAGATACAGACAAACAACTTTCATACAACCGTTTCCGCCAATTTACCACTGATGCGGGTCAAATTTCCCAAATCGCTGAAACACGTATTCATTAAATTCTTATGCAGTGCTTTGAAAATAAGTTTGAAGCAAATCTGACCCACATAAAACTTCGCCCAAAAAATCGTTGGATCCTATTTCTACCGAAGAAGTTTGGATTCTGCGAAAAGTAAGATCACGTTTCAAATGAATTTTCATATAGATCCTTGGAAATGAAAGTGACATTTGAACAAAGAGCTTTGAAAATGACTCTGAGGCCGATCGAATTTCAGTGAAAGTTTCAACTTCCTAGCTCTTACGGTTTTGGCTGTGCGTTGATCACCAATCAGTCAGTCAGTCTGTCAGGACAAACAGTTTTATACATAGAGATACTGATACAGATAATGATACTGATACTGATGAAGATACTAATACTGATATTGATACTGATACTACAGATACAGATTCAAATACAGATACTGATACAGGTACTGATACAAAGCTGCGGGTAGCGACAATTGACGTTTGTCATAACTCAGGCCTGATGCCTGAAATCGGTGCTCAATGCTCAATACTGGATGCGCACAAAACGAGCTGTTGCCATACAAATTGTTGTAGACACGCAGCGTGTGTATCTTTGTATCTTTTGCATTTGTATACGCTATTATGGTCTGGCCTTTTCTCTTTGATTTGCTGCGCTGCGGTTACGTTTTGTTTGATTTGCGCTGCTTATAGCGACACGTGTTTCAAATGTTCACATTGTTAGTATCTTTTATTTATTTATCTGTTTTTTTTTTTTTTTTTTTTTTTGTATTTGTCGCGCTCGCTTGTGCCAATTTATTTCTTGATTATCTGCACATATAATCTACGAATTGGTCAGCCTTTTAAATTCAAATTAGCGGGCATTAAATGCACGAGACATGCTTGCCCTGCGGTTAAATTGGGCAAAATATTCAAATTTATATATATATGTGTTTATTATATATGTATAGATTAATTTAATTTTTATTGGAAATTTATGGTTTTAGCTTGGTTTTGTAATTTATTTATTTTGCTCACAATTTGAGAAACAAATGTGTCTAAAAATAGTATTCTAGCACAAGATACCAACATATAAGACATCCATACTACATAAGGATTTGGATATTTATTAATGTTTCTTAGGCAAGGATAAATAGAAGCATCTAAAATTGAATTAAGCTTTAATATACAAATACATTTGTGTACACACAGTATTAATGCAGATACTAATTATTGATTAGCTGTTTATATTGAAAATTATTATTATAACATTTTGATTTTAAATTAATTTATTTAGCTTTTAGTAAATTAGAAATTAGTAAGACAGGCCATATTTTTAATTGATAACCGCTTTATTTTGAAACTTATATCTGTTACCTACATGTAGATAATTTTAAATAACTTTTGATTTGAAAAAGACCCGCACATGCACTTAAACTAAACACACCCGATAGCTACAAGTCCATATAGAGAGGCATTTCCTTCTGAAAGATACCGGCCGGCTTAAAAATTTTATTTTGGTTTTGCCTGAAATGAAAGTCAAGCTATATATATATATATATATATATATATATATATATATATGAAGATATGAAGATATGTATATATATATATGAGCCAGCTCAGTTGACAACCGCGACATCGCTGTTTATATATCTTGTTGGACAATTTTGAGCTCTTTTGTGCGAACCGAAATTCGAACGGTTGGCAGATCGCGCGGCTCAGCTGCTGTTAACGAACAAGTTTGAAGCGAATTAGCACGCAAAGCGGTTATAAATCTTAATGTATTTTGTATAATGAAGCGATATGCGTAAATAAAAACATAAAGAATCATAGCGCAAAACCAGACAAATTGCTAGGACTGTTAGTTAAGGTAAGTTCGCGTGAAAATCGTTTAAGTTGCTCGATCTATCGACTTATCGATATATCGATTTCTTGATTTCAATGCACAAAAAATCGCACCAAAAGTAAGCTGCTTGCATTTCTTTTCTTATTTTCCTTTACTTCTATCATTTCAACTGACATATTTTTTCTTTTTGATTATTCATATATATTTACGAATATCTCAATCAAAATATTACAGCTCAGGTAGCAAGAGGTTAATTTCGCGTTTACGTAGACCAAGACCAGGCCATCAGGTGTGGAAGGCAAGAGTGGGCCTTGGTTATACAACTAGGCTGCAAGTCGGAATTTCACTTTTTGTTGATTAGTGGATTAGTTGAAAAAAAAAAATAAAACGATTCGTTACCTGAACCGAACTATATTTATTTTGGTTTGGCAGAAAATTCAATTAATAATTTTAAATATTATTGGAATGTTTTAAGTTTCTGCGCATTAAAAACGTAAAGTCGATTGTGCTAAATAAAAGTAAATAATATGATAAATTGAATTGTTTTTCTGGATTTACGAACCGAGCCATTAAAGGAGTCGTTGGTTCGAACCGTGAACCGAACCCTCAAACATATTTTTGTTGAGTTTGCAGGCTTGCTTTCCAATATGGCTAATACGTTTTTAGAACCGCCCCATATGTTTATTCCATCAAATCATTTTCCCCCAAATAAAAAACGCCAATGTATGTATGAATCGTACAGAAGGTATATTAACCGCACATTTCTCTCGCTTATTTTCAGGCTCGGACTGTGATTCGGGTAGTGCTTCCATGTCGCCCCGAATGCAGCTGCTGGGACTCGGACTGGTGCTCTACATTTGTGCCGTGCTACGGATTAAGGGAGTTTTCTAAAAGAAAATTTTTGACAGTGTAATCACAGCACATCGATAAGTCCACAGCATCCACACACACAGACACACGCACACCCACACACCCAACACCCGAACACCCTCTAAGCAAAGTAAACATAAAACGTATATAATATGAAAGTGAAATTGTCATACAAGTATGTAAAGAGATAGGAGATTAAAAAGCAAATAGAAAGAGAGAGAGAGAGAGAGAGAGCTAGCGAGAGAGGGAGAGAGAGGAGATAATTGGAGTTTTCGAATTTGAGCCATGCTTTTGTATACTTGGCCAAACACAACTGAACATTTGTAAATGAATTTAGTGTTGCATGCAACTGCAACGTGCAGCAGCAAGTGACATTTGTTGTAGTTGTTAGTTTTAACCACTTGCCAGGAGCAAGCAGGACTAAACTTTTGCACGCGGCTTGCCCCACACATATCAAAACCAAAAGAGAGAGAACGGGTGGGAGCGAGCGATTGGCAGAGACTTTTGCCGATCTCTCTCGCTCCCAACTCGACTCTCCAGCCGATATCCAGAGAGTACCACATAGCTACACACACGCAAATACACACACCCGAACACACTTTTGTAGCACGCCGCAAATTGCTTTGTAAGAAAATGAAAATTGGCAAAAACCCAGGCCCAATAAATTAACTGATTCTAATGAGAATTCAATCAAGCGAAAACAAAGATTTTGATAAATAGAATGTTTGTCATATGCCAGCCAGCAGGGCATAACACAAACAAACAAAGAAATAAACACACTCGCTTAGAGAACGCGTATTTTGCCAGCTGGCATGGGTCCAAGTCTGTGCCCAGGCCGTAATCCCAAAAATTTTTGGAAAGTCGAGTATGCTATAGAGTTTTTTCGATTTTTTGATAGCCCCCGACCCCTCACAATGAAACTGGTTTCAGATTTGTGTTGGGAATGGTTCAATATTTGGCATATACAATGTTTTTTCTCTCTCGGTATTTTATTGTTTCTCACTTTGGGCACACCAAAAATGTTCTTATGACAACAAAAATTTGGAAAAAACCGCAACAAAATTGAAAAAATTAGTAAAATTGTATTATTCAAACGATGTGAGAGTTTTAACGAGAAATTGCAATTTTTTTGTAATAAGCAGCCCAAGAAAAAGAGTTGCAAGATCGGTCAAAAAAATGAATATAAATTGAAATAAAGTTTGTAGGAAACCTATTGAAACATTTAAATGGCAAAACATATCAGTATATATTATATAAACAAATATATATACAATAAATGTAATACATCTATATATATATAGTATACATATATGTATGTACATGTATTATTGCATTTGTACTAAACGTTTTACAAATTGGCTTAGTGAGAAAAACAACAAAAAATCAAGTAAATGGATATAATTAAAAGTTTTATACACTTAGCAAAATTCGAACCAGAAATAAAACTAAAGTAAAAAATAAAAATAAAAAAATAAATACAAATGTGCTGTATATTGAAGTTTGGTATGCCTATATCTATAAATACAATATTTCAAATAAATATAAATGAAAGAAATTAATTATAACAATCAAGGTAATTGTCAAAGCAGCACATACTTACATAGCTCAGTGTACGTACGTATGGGATCTTATTGAGTGCAATTAGAATGAATTATAAGTCTTAAGGGCATATCAGTACTCGTATTAACAACTATTGAGAGCGGACATTTTTCGAAATTAACTAACCTAAGCCACACTGATATAAACTAAGTTATTTTTATTATTAAAAAACAATTATGGAATATACAGACACAAAACATACACAGCATGCAGCTAAAATAAAAAGTATTGGACTTATAAAGAACAGACGAACAATTAATAAAAAAAAATATATATTAAGACGAAACCAAAGAGCAGTAACTGTTTCTTACATCTACGAGTACACAAACGTATATCTTAAAAAAAAAAAAAAAAAACAAAAAGAAAAATCGAATAAAAACAATTATAATTAAATATTATGTATTGTTTTTATAGCTGTAAGTAAAAGTGGAAAATTATATGTATGTCAAGCCTATTTGAGCGATGTTCGCTTTCAACTGTAGCAACTAGGGAAAATTCAATGTGAAATTTAATGAGAATAACAATTACTTAGGACACTATATACATAACTACTTATAATTAAGGTTGGATTAGCAAAGGATATGGCTGCAAAATCGAATGTATTTGTGGCTCCTGTCGAACCAACCTGCCAAATGCTGGACTCACATTTAATTTAAGCTATTAACTATTCTGTTAATCTTCTGAACACACAACAGCAACTATTACTAGAACACCAAAAAGGCAAGCAACGATAGTAAAGTTCACTTATGAAACTAACTGCATACCGAATATATTGGAAAAATAATAATAGTTAGCTAAGTAATTCAACATTGCCCTACAAGAAAATGGAAATCTTTGATTATAAAAAATGCAAAAGCGAATAACACACGTACTCGTATCTAAAAATAACAAAATAATTAACAATAATATGTGAGGTCATTCCTAATTTTATAAATTATCAATCGATTCAATTACTTTTGAAAAACAATTTTGATGAAAGCGTAAGAACTTAACGATTTTTAAGTATATGTGAACATTTATATTTTTATACCATGCAAGGCAAGCCGTATTGAAAACAAATGCATTAAAATATTTAATAAATGATATCAAAAATTAATATTGAAGCCTAAATAGAAAAAAAATAAAACCAAAAATATAAGACATTTTTTACTGCGTATTGAAAATGTATGGCAAGAGTTAAACAAATTAAAAAAGAAAACTAACTCCAAATAAATTAGCTTTAAACGAGTAAAAAAGGTTACCCCTACCCTGAACCCAATCCTTTTCAAGACAAATGCACAATCTTTCGAGAATTTCAATTGTTATTCCAGCTGGGAAATCGTGCCCGGAAAAGCCAATTGCTGTAGGCATATGTGTATCTGTATGTGTCCGTACTTGGTGCGGCCCAGCGAATGGTGCAAGGCCGGGTTATAAGGTGCACCTCCAATGCCAAAGGACTCGGCATTGTTTGTGGCATTCGCTCGGCCCATTTATTCATGTGTAGAACGCATTAGAAACTTAGGGATAAATGTAAAAATTAAGGAATTTACTGTGTATTATGCCTTTTGCCTTTTCAAAGAATTGTATAAACAAAGAATTGTTCAAATGCAAAGTATTTTAATATTTAAATGTTGTATGCATATCCTTGATTTTGTTGATATCCATTTTCATTGCATTAAACCTCCCGACCCAACCCCCACCCCCCTGTTCAACTGAGAAATATATATTTTGTCATTTTGCATGGTTTTCGGCTCAAGCCAAAGAATTGACAATATAATATTTCGCCTTAGAAGCAAAGGAGATAACGAATGAGAGACAAATTCCAAGTGTTATGCTTATAGATCTAAATTTTTATATACATGAGGACACACACGCACACACGCACAAACACACACACACACACACGCATCTCGCATCTACAATAATTTGGTAAAGGAAAAAAATTTGAAATATAATTTAATATTTTATTTTCTGTTGCCGTTCTTCCAAGCGTCTAATATATATATATATATATATATATATATATATATAATTAATAGTGAAGAGCACTCAAAATATATCCACAGTGTGCTTTTGATATTGTAGTCTGCTATTTGTAAAAGAATTTATATATAGTATACATTATAGTGCTAATAGCTAACTAAACATATACTTATGATAATAATGCAAGTAATGGATATACTAAATGCTGTATACATTCAATCTGCAAAAACACACAAAAACATACTGCATAGAAACTATATACACTTCAAGCCCTTTCTTCACCCCGTGCAAAAACTAAATCCGACTTATATTAGTTAAGCGTCTATAGGAAAAACAATAAAATAACTTAAAGAAATGCAGATATAGTCAATGTTCTTAAGTTGTTTTAATGGTTTTTAGTTTCTCTCGAATACAAATACAAATACAATGTTCAGTTTTGGGTTTATTGTATTCAGGAAACGTTACTAATTATATCAGCTACGACATCTGATAATAAAAAACACGGTTCTAGATGGTAGACGACAAGTGTACAATGCATGTCAAACGTTGATTGCGACCAATGCAGAAATACTTAGAAAAAGAAGAAGAAATACTCAAAAATACACTCACATACTCTCATACACAAACACACACATACACAATGTTAAAAGCCAAGCACAGGAATGCATTTGAGGATTAAACATACCAAACACTTATAAAATAGAACAATACTACATATAACTGACACATAGTATATACCAGAAAAATACTAAAACCAATAAGCTAAACGATAAAAGAATAATAATAAAAATAGAAAATATTCGCAAAATAATAATTACTTACACTTAACGAATGCAAAAGCAAGTTTGATAAAGTTTGAGCACGGTTTTTTTTAAAAAGTGTAAAAATCAAATACATATCAACATATGGCCTATTGTTTATTTAGTTTAATTATATAATTATTAATTTGTGAATTACTGAATTCAACAAAATAAAATCAATATAACAAACTAAATGAATAAATTATGTAATTATAATATTAAAGCTGCAAATGTAAGGCTCTGATTTATGACTCTAAGTAGGCAATTTGTAAAAATTAAGCAGCTAATTAGAAACGCAACTCAAATATATATAGCTGTAACTGTAACTGTGTAAAAGTGTTGCTAAAAAAAAAAACAAAAATCGAATACAAAAAAACAAATTGTGGTTAAATATGTGTTCTTACTTGTTAGTGGTAATAAAAGCCAAACATAGACAAAAAATAAAAAATAAAAATGAAAAATGGAAAACCCTAATATAAATATAAACATAATAACTATGTTGTGTAAGCTTTCACGACTAAAAAAAGCCAACTGTAGCTTTTATCATGCCAATCATTTTGATATGTTTTATTTATTATCGTATCCTATTTTCAAGTCTGCTCCTAAGTTCCAATTTGTTCAACTAACGATGCACACAAATGCAAGCCTATAAATAGAATTAAACTTATTTTTTGCTAGTAGTGTCCACTTAATAATACATTTATTTCTACAAATAACACACAATACTTACCTTAAAAGCAAAATAAAGTAAAATAAAATAAACCCTCTTAACTCAGCAGCTCAGCATAATAATTGTCGTAACTAACTTAATGCGTAAATTCCGATTTGATTAATAGAGAGAATATAAATCGAAAACGAAGAAAATAAATCAAACATAGAAAATTAGATAAATTACGTATATATGTATGTAATTATCTACACAAATATTATATGGCAGCTCCAGTTTAGTTGATTGTAATTGAGTATCCTTTGCGAGGCGCTTTAGTGTTCAGCAAAATTGTATTTGTATATTAAGAAAGATATGGAAATGCATTTGTTTATGTATGTGTCTATAGTCGAACGATGAAATTATAATTATTATTGTCGCAGAAATTACTTTAAATTTAATGGGAATAGAAAACACATACCTATATACACAGACAAACACACACACAAAGCATATAATTAATGTATAAGAAGAAGACACACTGTATACACAAGATAAACAAATACATATAGAAATTATGTCATGAGCATACAAAAAGTAGGGATCATTTTACTGAACATTTATATATATATATAAATTATACTATATGTAATCTAACGAAAAAATAAAAGTAAATTCTGCTAAAAAAACATAAAGAAAGAAATAGTTAAAAACGAAAACAAAACAACCAAATGTAAACCAATCATGAACAATTGCTAAATACGATTTGCTATAATTCAAGGAAGCAAAAACAAAAATCTACCAAGAAAATTGTAAACAAAGGTAAATTTATAAATGAAAATGAAACAAAATCTAAATGAAATTATATTATACGAATATATTGTATATCGAAACAAGATGAATATAAGTCAAATAAAACTTATGTATCATGTATTAAACTAACAACAGTTGAATTTTATTTTATTTTTTTTTAATTTCCTTAATCCGTTAAAAATACTGGGTATACTGAATTGTGTCAATCTTATGCATCTCCGATGTATAAGTATGTGGATATACTTGTTCAGGTCGACGAGCTGAGTCGGTTTAGCCATGTCCTGCAGCTATATTCGTATATTATGATCAAAACAACTAACATTTTTTATATCTAACCTTTTTCTAATGATATCAATAACTATCGATGCTGAAAGTAGCTAATAGCTAGAATCGCCAAGTTGGGCATGTTTCCGAATTGAATATATAGATTATGTACTTTCTAGATACCTTTCATCATCATCATTTTGAAAACTGGAGCCTTGTTTATGGCACCCTTGGATGCCATATTTAATACCTAAAAAGTTCATAAGATCGGACTTTAAGCACCGAAGTTACTCAAGAATGCTTTTGGCAGAGTGTGAAGTTACTGCGTTTTCTTCTATACAAGAAGTAGGTTGTATAGCTTGCAGCTTTAGGTCGGCGCTGGGTATCTGCTAGTCGGGCACTCTCACCTGCAGCTCTCTTGAGAGATGATAAATGTGATTCGTGGCATTCATCAATTACTCATAATTTCAGGAAGCTATTGGCTGAATAGCTCGCTTTATGGTCTGCTAATTACGAGGCAATGCGACTTTACATGGAATCAATAATAAAAAAAAAAGAAGAAAGAAAACAACTGAAATGATAAACACCAAATAAAATCGCTTATTTATGGGCGACTTATGCACATTAGCCAAGCATTGAATATTTTATTTAATATGCACATAAATTCAACTGCAATTAGCTTCCGTATGCAGCCGTCGTAAGCCCCAATTAATCAACTCAAGTTTTAAATGAATAGGGAAGAGCCCCTACCCCTACCCCTATTCCTGTACCAGCTACTAACCCTTTAAGCCGGGAACATTTGTCAATTTGTGCGGAGACTCCACACAGTTTTACAGTCCGCAATTTTGTTAGTCGTAAGCGTCGTAAAATCTGGCTAGGCTTTGCGCACAGGTTGAGTTGGTTTAAATGGATGCATTTTCATTAGGGGCTGCCTGCGCATTAAAATGTAAATGTAAATTACTTAGCATTGCAGTCATCGTTGTCGGGCGTTTTATTTCCGCACATAAAAGAGCTTAATCCCTGGCATATCTAATAAACTTTACGTTCTATCTTCTCTTGCAGCATTTGCGCAGCAGTTAACTCTCGTGGCCACTTCGGCGCTTGTCTATTTAAAAAACTGGCTCATCAGCGGCTAAACTCAACTATTGATTAACCTTAAACCCTAACCATATTTCAACTAAAACTAGCTACACACACTACTTGAAACACTTTCACAAAACGAAAGAAAAACAACTGAAACACAAGACACTTCCAAACTAAGCAACACAAAGTCTGAATCGGGAGCATAGCAAATTGTAAGCAGTTGGAAACTGAAATATACTAGATGAAAACTTGGTACCTTGAGGCAGGGCTAATATCCGGCCAAAGACAATAAGCAGCAAGCTATATAGGCTATAGGAACTGGATATTTATGCATAGATCTAAAGGAATTTAAGTGCGAATATATTTGCGAACGAAGGCTGAATGAGTTGAGAGCAGCGTGCTGGACACCCTCAGAAATCGAATCACAACTAACTAACAAACTAACTAACTGTGTACAACTAAACACTTGAACCATGTAGCTCACTCGAAAGATTAAACAACAAATGCTATTTTCTTTATTAAAACAAATTATCTTTAACGGTTAAGCAGCAATTCTTATGTGTTTAATACTCTAAATAAAAAAAAAAAATGTTGGGAGTGTGTATTTCCGTTTCTAGCCGGTTTAGTTTGTACTCAGCTTTAACTGAAACGACCGCAGCTCAATCGAACAGATAATCTAACGATCAAAGAAGTTGACTGAATGGATGCTGTTTACACGCGAAAGGCTGCATAAAAGCAGCCTTCAACTTGACACATGAATAATTTAAGCTGTTTAAAGACCAAGCAAATCGAATCGATAAACCATGCCCCTGCAGAGTGCCTAGCGTCTGGAGTCAAGCGCTGTGTCCATTGACCCAACATTAAAATCTAACGAAAGACCAGACAGCCCGTCAGCAGATGCAGAAAACTTTTAGACAAAATGAAAATAATCAAAAGCAAACAATACGAAAATATTACTAAAAATGAATACAGAACAGCAAGCATCACAACTCGAATATTAAATACTCTTTCTAATATGCTGTTAAAGTATTAAGAAGAATTTTTATTTAGAAAATGTAAATCATTATTACTATTTCTTTATTATTTATATTATTAATATTGTATTGTTATTAATATTATTATTATTATGACTATTTTTTAAGACTGTTATTATTATTAAAAACTGATTTTGGCGACCTTTTCATTTTTAAAATATTTAGTTAGGTGGATTCTGAGGACAGGGTCTAATTTATTAAAATCAAAAATTACAAAATTTTTCTCATCTCATCATCATATCATGAGCTCAGTAGTATTATGATTATTTGATTATTTTTATTATTATTTTTATTACTTTATGTGTTAAATATTATTTTATATTGGATTAGACAAAAGTAGATACGTTATACAACATCACAAAATTCGACCGTTCGGTTGAAGGACTAGAAACGAAACAGGTGATGTCAAAGTTATAATACGCTCTACAATGGGCTCAAAATCAAAGAAGAGTATAAAAACAAAAAACTCGATGAATATCATTTAATGTTTACTTAGACAAATGAGGCAGCGTTCGGCGGAGACAACCAGTCACCAGTTGTGGCATATCGTATGTCTTCGGAGTGGCTTTATATTATGAAGCTCGCCAGCTAGTTTTACAATAGAACCTGTTTCTAATTATTGTTGCTTCTTTTGCATGTTGATCAGGGCTTTCGCTGAGCGCTTGTGCTGGGCTAAAAACTGGGTCTGGCACCGGCTCTGGCTCTGGCTCTGGCTGTGGCTCGAGCTCTGTCTCTGGGCTTTGGGGGGTTTTGGGCCAGGGCCTGGAGCCTGTTCAATTTTTAAATGCCAACTTTTTGTTCATTGAAGTTTATTTGGTTTTATTTTATTTTATTGAATTTTTTCTCTTGGTGTTTTTAGTATCAATTAACATATTGAATATGATCAGTTGATGGTTTATGGCCAACGCACAGTGGTGCCAAGCTCAGCCAACTGAGCCAAGGTGTCAAATGTGCCACGCTACAAAGAGATAGCGTTTTGCTCTTACCAATTAGCAGGCATTCTAAGATTCAAAAACTCAAGACTCGACGCAATCAAATGCCAAAGTTGTATCTTTTCTAATGAACAATAAAATATATATTTATTTGAGATTTCATTTATGTACATACTAATTAGGGATCTCTCTAGCTAGGTATTTTTTTATGAATGAGCTGGAAGAATGCAGCCAAATGTAAATTTAATGAGTAATTTGATAAATTTATAATTTATACGTAAGTATTGGCTGTGCAAATATTTTGCTGCCATTGAAATTCGCGTGAAATTGTCAAACGCTTTTCGGCTGCTCATTAAAAGTTTTGATAATAATATTTGTAAATATTATTTGACAGCGACTACAACAGCCATTGCTCATTCGCTGTGAAAACCAAGTTCAATGGAATTGTTTATCTGACGCGGCCGAGACGAGTTTGCGCAAAATGACGTCGCCCGCCCACGCCTCTCATTTCTGGGTCAATATTGGCGTTAACAGGCATATGGGCCTGTCCAAATACAGTGCGGCACATGCTCAGAATCGGACTGGATTTGATTGAGATTCATTGCCAAGTTCGTTGGCACCTGTCCTAAGGTCATAACAGCAGATAAATATTAGGCCAACTATTTGATCTTGACCATATTGTTACACATTTTGGCCAGGGCCGAGGCTTGAACGTGTTGACAAAAATCGTTTGTTGCTCCATAAGCCAATTTCAAACGCCCGTCCCTGTAGGTGGGTAAGTGAGACGTGCTTTGAACCTCCGACAAAAGCTCCGTTGAATCACTATCTAAGACTGTAATTGAGAAAACCCAATAGTTATTTTATATATATATTTTTTAAGATAGTTACTTTTATTTTACAAATAGAAGAAAACTTTAAGATCCAGAAAAGTGGCAAATATAGTTTAATCTATATACAATATCTACCTTAGCCCAAACACAATCCAGGCCTAATCATGGATTGCAACCAGTTTTATTACCAAATTCAATAATTACTTCAAAATAATTAAATTAACTCTTCACAGGGCTTCGATCCTCAAACTTGGTGCTCAGTGTGCCAACGCTGCCAGAAACTGATTAAGTTGTCGAGTTGTTTTATTGCTAATCAAGTAATCTTTGTTTCTTCACGTTCTACATGTGAATTGTATAGTTTTTGACAGTGTTATTTTTTTGTCTGTTTCGGTAACATTTTAGTTTTATTTTTTAATTTGTACGCGCTTTTACAGCAGTATAAGCTAAACTTGTCAATTTTTAAAGTTTATGTATAAGGAAATTGGAATACATATCTTTTTAGCGGAAGTGTAAAATTGTATGTGTTAGTTTTTTTTGGTTTTCAGTAAAAATTGTACAAAAAAAAATAATGCTTAGAAGTGTGCAGGCGAATACCATCAATCCGATGCGACATATGGCAACCTATCAATCCAGATTCGGCTACACCGTGCTGGCTCCCTCGCGCAGCTATTACGATGTGCTAAAGGTACCCATTAATTCAAGTGGACAGGAGATCAAACGCGCCTTCATCGAACTTTCGAAGAAATACCATCCCGATGGAAATAGCCACACTCGGGACTCCGATGAGTTTGTGAAGGTGTGCGAGGCCTACAAGATCCTCTACAAACAGGCCTCGCGCGAACACTACAACAATCGCCTGAAGACGCGCTTCCGTATGGTGCCGCCCATGGACAGCAGCTATACGAACAAGAATGTGCACAAGGCCTGGGTCAAGTATCAGGCGGCCATGCGGTACAAACAGTTCGGACACGATGTGCCCAGTTTTGCGGGCTCCACCATTCTGCACAAGCGGCCGTTGCTAATCAAGGCAAGGGGGGTGCGTCTCCTGCCGTCAGGTCAGGCGATGCCACCAAGCAAATATGGAAATGAGGAGGTTATCCGATTGCCTGTTTTCTTTGACCGATCGTATGAGAATTGGATGTACTTCTATTATATGGCAGGCTTTGGCTTAATAGGGGTACTTCTTGCGGTCGATGCCATAAAAAAGGCAAATCCCTCCAACGGAACCGACGCACCCGTTGGTCCTAAGTGAGATTGAAATTTTGGCGAATACTCGTGGGTCTTAGCTAAACAAGAATTATGTGGTCTTTATTCTGTATTTAATCTGTAATATTTGATCAAAATTGTACTGTTCCCGAACAAATATATGCCCCACAAGCACATAAAAACAACAATTCGTTATTCAGCTAGAACTAAGCGCTTCTTAGCTGCACCTGGGATAAAAAATGGTTGGCATTGGGCATGTGGCTGTTGATGTGGCTATAATAACGAACAATGAATTAACTGGTTTCAGTGACAACTTGTAGTTCAATTCAATTCATTTCAGTTCGCAGCGGCTATTAATAATATTAATAATAAAACTAAAATTTAGCACACTAATTCTTGGCAATAGCTTGCTTCAGCTATGTTAATAAGTTTGTCACGACTTGGGCAGTGTTATTTAGAGTTTGGGCGGAATTAGAGAAATACGGTTTTCCAAATTAAATTCAGTATTCCTTTAAGACTTGGCTGTATATAATTTAAGTTAACCTGGAAGCTGTTAGTTGTTATAATTAAATAAATGTGTCTCAAGGTGTCTTGAATTAAGAATGATCAACGTAAAAATTTGTAATATTTTATATTATTTTTTTGAACAGTTTCATTCTTTTCGATATGATCTATTCGGCTTGGTAATTAAAAGCCAGATTTGAGTCGTATATTGGGTTGGCAGTGTCAAGTGTAAAGTTTATCTGGCCAATGATTTCATATCTTTTAAATGCGATGGGACTGCTGTGGCTGAAACTTCCGCAGAGCTTAGGCCATCCGTGACCTTTGCTACACAGTTTGGTCTGTGGGTAACTGTAGAGCCTGGCAAGCAATCGGCTAGATAATACACATAGATAAGACATAATATATATGTGCGTCTGGCTTAAGTAAGTTGTATAACAATATGATTATGTTATTAAATGGAACGCACAGTGGCTACCGCTGTCAGCTCAAAGTCTCGAGGCTTCGCGCCCGTCTCAAGGCGAGCGACTCTCGAGCGTGTCGAGTATCAATGGAAGAGACGGTCCCGCCCAGAGACCACCACGGGTGTTTTGGCTGGGAACCGTTAGACAGGCTGGAATAATAGTTGTTTATTTTGTATTCGGCAAAAACAACGACAAAACTTGGTTATGTGGTGTTGTTTATCTTTTCCGGCTGACAGCAGTTGATAAATTATGCGCGACCATCTTTTGCTTTGATTAAGTTGTTCGGCCCGTTCAACTCGAGTTCAAATGCGCGTTGATACAGATAACAAGCCAAACATGCAGCCAAAGCCATATCCAAATGCCACATAAATCAAATATAAGTAAATGTATATACATACATATAGATTCGATCGATCTGCGCGGCGCGATAAAGAGCATTGGAATTATGTTCTGTCGCCTGTCGCTGCGCTAAATAAATACATTCAGCGATCTCGGCCATAATGAAGCCAACTACATGTATTGTATAAAGAGCCAGCTAAAATCAGCGCCCAGCTTGGCGCAAAAAACGAAAAACAATATACAAAAAAAAAAAGGGGAAAAAAATCGGCTCAAAATTTATTGTACGCTGACGGCTTTTTAATGAAAATCACTTGGCTACCAAAAAGCGAATTAATGAAGGTGTGCGTTTTGCGCATGTGTCCGATGCGCATGTGCGATGTTGCGATGTTTCACTGCCCGTTTCAATATAGAGTTTCGATTTCTGTGCCGGCATAAGTTCAAACAAATCAGGGTGTTCTGTTGCCTGACCAGGATATACCCTTTACTCAGCGTCGAGCTGTCGTAATTAATATGCGAACTGCCTTTGTCCACATAATGTGCTTCTTCTGGCCTCATATATTTACTTTGTAAGCACAGAGCCAACGGTTTCTAAATAATTTTCACTTTAATTATTTAAAATCAAAACTACAACATTTTTATGCCAACACAAGTGTTACAGAAATGTTTATTGCAGAAATTATATTGACAAAAACAACTTTTATAGATCAATTAGCACTTTTTTTTAAATAAAAATTGTTGATAAAATTAAATGAATTATAAGATTAGATATAAAATTTAAATAGAGTATTATTAAAATAAGAAATTATTTCTTTTTATATTATTATAATTAGAAGTTTTTTTTTAATTTTATCTTTATAACAAATATGTATTTTTTAAAATGGAATATTTTTTTTTATTTTATTTTAAGCAAAGTGATAACTGATCTGTGATGCGACATGCTATCTTTTGGCTGACATATACATTTAAATATGACTCTTTCAGCGAAACCAATGGGTACAGGGTATCAAAAGGCAACATAGCCCAGGCAGGCAGCATCCATATCAGCGAAAATCAATATGCAAATAACTTATGAGCACGTGTGTGAGCGTGTGTGTGTGCATATACATATCATGCGTAGATTGATCAGCATATGAATCAGTTTAGCATAAGAATCAAAACGTTTCTCATATGAAAATTATATATGTTTATGGCCATTTCATTCATGCGTTCAGCCAAACATGTTCTAGATGGCTTAGATGATGTTTTATTTTATTGTGAGACTTTTATATATTTTTATTTTTTGGGCTCCGATCTTTAAACACACCCCAGTTAAGTTTAAACTTTATTGCACTTGTTTGGCTATTTATAACTTGTGAATTGATATTCAATATAGGTGCTGTAGACAGTTTTTGAATTGAATTCAAAATGGGTTTCGGTTACGAATTGAGATGCAACAATTGGTTAATGGGCCAGTCTCACGCGCATGTTCTCTATAAGACAACAGAAACTACAACAACAACACCAACAACTACAACAACAACGGCAACAACTGTATATGACATTTTAATTATGTTGCTGTCAAATTGTTGTTGCCGCGTCGAGTCTCAATTGTAATTAATAATATTTAATAACAGTCGTTGGCATCGCAGCCGTCATGTGTACAGATTGAAATGTTATGGAAGTGTTTTGTCATCCCATGAAATGGAGATGAGCCGCATTTACATAGCATTCGGTTTGTTAACCGTGACTTGTACTCAATTGTGGTATATTACAGTGATTAAGCTATTATAATATCGAACCCATGCTAGTCAGTTAATATACATACACATACTTTACTTAATTTATTTCCTTATTACAAAAATACTGTCTTTAGTCAATTATAAAGCTTAATAATATACGTACTAGTTGAGACTTTGCTGAAATAAGTATATCTAAATTGATTAAGAAATAAATAATTTTTGTTTTTTTTTTTTGTTAGCTATTTTGTTAGATTGCTTAGTTATAAGAACTTAAGGAGCAAATCATTTTTTTATATGTATACTTTATTGTTGGCTACGGGATTACAGTTTAACATTTAATATGAACCGAACTTTAAACAAAATAAGTTGCTTGAGAAACACCTGCGCTGATAACTGAACCACACGATAATTCAACAGAAAACAAAAACATTTATTTTGCATATTTAAAAATGTATTAAACAATTTTTTAATTTATTTATTTATTTATTATAAAATTTCATTTTCTGCACAAGTTGCGACAGGTAATAAGCCAGTTCTGCTCAACTCTGATATGAAAACGGGCTGCTTGAGTGGGTGGGGCAATTGCATAGTTTCTGAAAGATTGATGGGGCGCCGGAAACGTTGCAGGCAACAAGGATGCGCCAACGTTTTGAGTGACACTGATGCGGGCACTTGTATCCGCTCTCGACGCTCTCGCACCCGCACCCGCACCCCCTGGCAATGCAATTGTTGATAAATGACAATGTGATATCTACACATACATATAGTGCAAGTAGTTCCGCAAACCGATGTCGGAGATAAACAAAAGTGCGCAAATATTTTGCACTAACAAATTGTCCGATTAGAGAAATTATCAGCAAAACGAACGAGGCCATTTAGTTATTGTAACATCAAATGGAAATGTTCTGTTACCCATATGTCTTGGTTGGCCTTATAGATAGCGGATGGATGGAGGCACGTTGAACTGCTTTCAGTGTAACTGGGCCGCTTTTTATTCTGACTCAGTTGACGGGAATTCCATTCAAATGTGTTTTCTTAATTAAAAAAAACCTTTGCATGAGTCAGCTTTAATGCTCGTTCATGAACTAAAAAGAGATAATATTGGTTTGCAGCCAGTCCATCCCTCCTTCTAAATGCACTTGCTTTTTAAGTCCTGAGTCCAAATTTAACATTTAGTATATACAGATCAAAAATCTTTCATTTTATAGCTACCGTCGCCCCTACACTTAGAGCGAGCTGCGTTTGGGTTGATAGATGAAGGTTCGGGGTATCCCCTGGACGGGCACTCTCGACTAGAGCACTCGTCTTTGGATATTTTAAAGATTGGGATAAATTAAAAAAAAAAAATTAAAGCAAGAGAATATAATCTATACTCTTACTCTAACTTAATAAAATAATTGGGCGAGTATTACGCAGTCGTTTGCACCCGACTGCAATACTCTGCCTTTCAGATATTATGCAGACAATTTCCTAGTAATGCTGGAAAGTTAGCGATTATAAATGGATATTGACAGGATGGCGATGTAAACAAGTTTTTTTTCTTTTGTTAATTTTGCTTCCGTTATTTAAGGCACATGTAGCTGCTAAGATGAACAAACGAATGAGTGAATGGAATGATTGAATGAGTGGTGAGTGTTGAGTGTTGAGTATTGAGTGCCGACTGCTGCCGGTGGGTGGCAACTGAATACAACATGCGCAGCACGCGTAGCACCAACAAAGACAATAAATTGAGTCATAAAACAGCAAAGCAACAGCAGGAGGCGATAACAGCCAGATGCTGAGTTAAATGAGCTGCTGGTTAACTTTTTTATTTTTTAAATACATTTTTTTTTAAATACTGTTTTTCACTTTTTTGCTGGTCGAACATGCGTATAAATGTACGCACACTAAGGCGCACACAGCTGCAGATACAGATACATAGAGCCTGAGATACAGATACAAATGCAAACACTCAGAATCGAATGGCATGGGCTGGGTAGCTGAGACCGGACAGGCGCCGGCATTGAAGGTCATTAATGTTTGTTTAAATTTTAGCTGCAGATATGTCTGTGTGTGTTACTGTCTGTGAGTGTGTGTGTGAGTGTATTGTTTAAGCGCAAATAAAACGTAATGAAGTGGATGGCTAAGTAGGAAATGTAAACTAGCATTCGAAAACAACAGGCACAACAAGTTGAAAAAAAAAATGAAGATAAAACACGTAAAAACCGAAGAAGCAAAATATTAAAGTACATAAAAACAAAGAAGAAGCAGCAGCATCTGCAGCAGCACACATAAAAACCTACACCTATACACATGTTTATTTCATATTTCTGTAGCGCATAATTTTTTAATATTTATGTAGTTTTTGTGAAATAAAATAAATCAGTTGTGCAGCTGAGACGTCAGCTGCCTGCCCTCTGCCTGCCTGTCTCTCCCACCCCACTCCCCCTGCTGCTGGTGGGAAGGCTCTGTGCGGCGATCGCAATCCAAACGTCATGTGTGGCATTCGAGCGGGCAGGACCCAAGCGAAACCAGTTGCCAACCAGGCCAAGATCTGTACCGTGGTAGCCGGCGCAATCGTTTGTACTTGTTAATGGCTTTGTACGCGTAATTATTTTGGCAAGAAGCCGTGTCGCCCGATTGCTCGATTGTCCAGTTCGCCAGTTTGCAAGCTCGCCAGATCGGTGCTGAAACGGAAACGCGAATCTGGTCCAATTTGCGAGCATCTGTAGGTAACCATGTCGTATTATATTTGTGGCCCCGTACTCCTCCGTTTATCTGGTAGCCAGGTGAAAGGCTCAATTGGGATTTGTTCTCACTTGAATTTACGTTTTTTTTAATTTCATTTTCGTTTTTCTTATTTTTTTTCATATTTAATTGGGTGTTTTTATTGGCTTTTAATGATACGCGAAATGATCGAAGCTCCTGGCCTCAGGCCATGCGCTGCCCCTTTAAGTTTAACTCAGCGCTACCCAAATGCCACGCCCCACATGCAACAGCAGAGCTCAAGTGATTGTTGTCCCAAGCCAGCCACCTGCAGCCTGTAGCCTGATCAACATAAAGTTCAATCAATGTCTTTCGCCGGAAATTTTAAAAGAACACAATCATATTCGAGAGCTGCCAGCCACAGCAACTAGTAATATTAAAGCTTTATAAGCAATATTTTTTAAAACAAAACAAAACAAAACACTTTAATGTCCTAATAAATTTAATATTTATTATTTTTCAAGCTATACAAGCTTTAAATAAGTGAAAAAATATCCTTAAATAAAGTTCATTTAACTTTAAAGCTATATTATCAGATTATTCTGATCGAACCGATATCAACAGTTGTACCGTCTTAAACAAGGAGAAGGACATTTTATCAGGAACGATAGCCTTAAGACTAGCATTAATTAGCATATAAGAGCAAGGCTTTAGCCTCCGCTGCTGATACTGATCAAGAATATATAGTATATATTGGCTGTGAAATAAATATCAAATTATGTTAAAACAAACACTCCGCGAATTTTACAAAAGGAAATATAAGAAAGCTTTAATCTGCGTTCCAATTTCAATTGCGCCACATAAAAAACTAGCTTTTTCTAGCTGCCAAACCGCTAAGCGCCTAGCATACTGCCAAGTATTTTTAACATTTTCTCTTAACAGCATGTAGCTGCTGTTAACATTTAGCGCATGTTATGCTCATTTAGTTAACAGCAACGCAACAGTTTAAAAATCGATTTAAAGGTGAAAGAATATCTCATTAACAGACTTCAACATTCAGTGTATACATGAACATAAGAAACATATATGTTTAATAATTCATATTGCCTTTCACGGCGTTCGACTTTTGGAGTTGCTTTTTATAAGCATAACATTTAAAAAGTATTTCGGCCCAGCTGATAGCCGGCTGCGCAGTCCGCGCATCTGCTCGCTCTCACCCGAGCGCCGCGGCGACAGGTTGATCGGCAGCTTCTTCGCGGCGGCTCTTATCTGCTGCGGCCGCTGTCGCTGTCGCTGTCGATGCCGCTGCCGCAGTCGCTGCCAACGGTGTTGGTATATAAACGTCAGCGTCGCCCAGCGTCCAATCAAACAGACGACGCCTTCAAGTCTAGCTGCACGCACGAGAGTGGAGTTGGAGTCGTCGGCAAATTTCGTGACGCTTTTTTCTCGGTTTTGGACATCAATTTTTTGCAAGCCTCTACCCCGCATTCCCCCACCAAACGCTTGTGATTCGCTTGAAACGCGGCAACCAAAATTAAAATTAAATTAAAAATTTACAAGTGCAAGCATTAAATATAAGACTGTCTTTAAAGAAAAGCTTATATTTAAATCAAATTTAAACAAAAAGTGTTTAATTAAGTGCAATTCAAACACACACACACACACACACACACTCAAAAGTGTGTCTAAGTTCAACAAATTATATTAGAATATTTAATAAAAATTAAAATGATGCAGCACAGCGCACAGCTACTTCCTCTGGCCCTACTGCTGATCTCCTGTGGAACGGCATTTGCCTGCCATGGCAAGCTAATCGGTAAGTAGTCGACGGCACTTGACCAGCCCCAATTCCGAATCTATTAATTTGTATGCCTGATGTGGGGCATAAAAAAAATTAAAATAATTCAAAAATAGAAATAGTTAAAATTGCCGTGTGGCATGCATAAATAGATTGCGACCAATTAAGGCTCTTTATTTTTATTTATTTTTCACATTTTTTTAAAATTACAAGCATTTGCATTTCGCATTTGTTTTTAGTTTTTATTTGCATTTAAGTACATTTCAGGCACGTTTTTGTCATTTGTTTTATGAATGAATGGGACAAAAAAAGTGTTTATGAGCTGCTCGGTCGGTAGAATTTAAGCAAATATTTGCCAACACAATGTTTTATTTAGTTAGCGTTTAGCGAAAGCCACAATACTCTCCGGGTGCCACAAACACACATATTCGATGCCTGCAGCGGCGAGGTGTGCTCGAGAACTTTGTGGAATGTTCACATGTTCGCGCTTGCCTTGGCAACTGGGCTCTGAAAATGACTTCGGAGCGGGCTTATTACATAAAGTGTATAATTAATTGTTAAGGGGAAGCAACAAACTAAATAAACCGGTTCAAATTTCAAGTTTTTATAATATATTTAAAAAATTATAACGCATACTACATAGATCCATAAATATGCCACTCCGTATGCATATGAGCTGCCCCGAAGCTAAGCTTTCAGTTAATCAAAGGCCAATCAACTCAACAGATTCATACATTTGATATAACTTAATTCATTAACATTGTGCCAGGCTTAAATTATTTATATCAAATATATATAACAAAAACAATATCATAATTATGAAGCTCTACTGTGTTATGAGAGCTCATTGAACTGATCAAGCCGTGAAGGTAATTTGTTAGCCGTAATTGAAACTCACCCGAATTAAAGAATCTGTCCAAATCGGACACATGCTTAAAAACACTTGAAAAATTATAATAAAACAGAAAATAACATTTAATTTAATAGGGCGTGAGCTGCGCTAAGTGGATCACCCAAAACGCTTGCTGGCCAAAACTCTTAACGCTTTTTGTGTTCTGCACACGCAGGCGCCGTCTTTTGTTGTTAACAAAACAAATTCCAGTTGTTGTTTTCAATTTTGTTGTCGAAATTGGTAATAATAAAATCGAAGCTTTTGTTTTTATAGTGCGCGTGCTCGTTTTTGATCAATGTTTGCGTTTTACTTCTCTTCGATTCCACCTGGGGAATGGCCACATAATTCCAACGCAATTTCGAGCTATTCCACAACACGCATCGAAATCGAATCGAAATCGATTTCAATCATACTAGCAGAGTATTCAGATTGACAAATGGGCCGAAAAGCGACAACTGCGACCGTAACGCTTTGCTGCGGCATCAATCAAAGCCTTTTGCCGTGCTAATAATGTAATTAAATATGTAGATGCGTAGACAAGAGCAACGACAACTACCTCAACAACGTGCAACGAACATCGTGCAACGTGCAACGTGCAGCGTGTAACGTGCAACGAACAAGCGTAGCTGGGTGATAATCAGTAAATGATAAATGTTACAAAACATGTTGCGGCCAACATAAAGCATAACTGTCTGCATTAACTCGAGCTAAATGCGTCTGCGAGGCTGTTCTTTGCGATGTTCCCTTACTTATGCCCTTCCAGAGGGTCTATCAGTATTTCCATGAAGCGTGTAACGCACAGGAAAAGACTTTGTCGAGCTAATTAATTATTTATACATATACATTTGATCAGCCGAGCTTATATAGAGTTTATAAGGATTATTAAAGCTATCATATAGCTGCCATAGGAAAAATGGGTGAAAAATAAAGTTGGTGCCTTAGTAACTTTCTTGTTTTTTCAAGATATCTTGACATTTACTAGTTTCACTTTGCTGCCCACATCTAGTATATCATATATATCTATAGGCAGATTCGATCGAAAATATGTTTTTATATGCATAACGTTTCGTCAAGAATCATTTAAAGCTTTCACAATTATACTCAAGCCATTAGCTAGTTTGGCAAGGGCATTTTATTGTCGGTGTGCGGACGTCTGGTCGTTCCCTCTTGTTTTTTTTTTTTTTACCGTCTGCCTGTCGGCTCGTCTGCCACTTCCCGTTGTGGCAGCTCTCGCATTGTTCAAGGTGAAGTCAGCGCCTGCAACGAGCTGGCAGTTAAGCACTTGTTAACATATTGTTGGCATTTGTTGGCCGCACTCTGTCTGCCCCACAGCTAGCCAGCCGTTGTAGCTGTGGCTGCTAAGCAAGTTTGTTGCTTAAGTCTTTCGTTTTCGTCGGTGCTTACAGTTATTGGTAGCTGTTGACGTTTCGTTGTCAACATAATAGCCTCAACGTCGCTGCCAGCTCCGCACTTGATCATTTCTGTTGCTGTTGTTGTTTATTGCTCTCAGCCAAGAATATGCAAAGTATGGTCAGCCTGTTGCGGAAACCGATCGACAGCTTTATGTGCAATTTGTCAGAGAAGATAGTTCACAAAATTTGCATAGCGCCCGATGCACACGGGCATCTCCCTCATGTTGATTGATGCGTATTGACTTAAAAACACACACAAGCTCACACACAGAAAGAGAGAGACTGATGCGGCAATGCGTTGATTTACCTACCGGTTCCAGTCAATGCTGTGAAACTGATATTTATGTAAATGTACTCGTCCATATGTATGTATTATATAGCATAACACTAACACGTCTTTAATTTGACAGCTGCGGTTGAGTTTGAAGCTCGACGGGTTCTGCAAAAGCCGCTCGCTCACAGCTATTTTTAGTCGGCGCACTAACCTTGACTAAAAGAACACCAACAAAATATAAAACACACTCTCTAAACTGCCAGCTGAAGCTGAGCATCTCGATCGGTCTTTAATTCGGGCAGCTCTATTGACATCTAGACCCATTTATTTGTGCGAACGCCAGCTAAGCGTAGCTGTAAATTTATTTATTGTTCTTGTTTTTGTTTATTGGCCGCGTCAAGTTGTCTGACTGTGGCTCGGGCAAGTTGCTGCACTTGACCGGCAGCCATGTGATGCCAGGGCCGTGGCACAACAGCAGCAGCCGTAGGAGGAGGCGGCGGACTCACAGACAGACCGACAGACGTGCCGGTAGGAAGTGCAGCTTGGAGTCGGTTGTTAAATGCTCTCACGTCTCGGCAGCGCAATCAGCGCCCATCGCTTGCTAACCATTATTATAATTATTAAAAATTATTAAGCATGCGTAATTATTTAAATGAAATGCGGCTGCATAAAGCGGCCATGCCTCTAGACAATGCCCTGCAAGGACCAATATCAGCTAGTTGGTCGTTTTCTTCTTTTGGTTTTCCCAACTCTCTTAATATATATATTGTGTATTATATATATGAACGTCGCGTACTCAGGTCGCTGCTACGACTCATTAACACCCTGCGGCAACATTTGTACTTCTCTGAAAATACCCTGGAATAAGTCCACAATTGGGATTAAGAATTAAAAGATTATCCCCAAACATGATATACTTGAGAGTGACTTTTGCTCACCAAAAAAACAGAAAACCAATTTGTCTGCTTGTGCCACGCTGCTGACACACTTCACACCAATAAATCGTGAGTCAGTGCCAGGCGCCGACAAAAAAATTAATTAACAAAAAAAAGTAGATACAAAATTGGCTAATGGACAAATGTTGGATTTTTAATTGACGCCTTTGAGCAGCACGCGCCGCTTCGATTTTAAAATGTTTATGGTCTCTTAATGCATTTATATATTTCTCGCTGTTTTCTTTAATTATCTGCTTTTACCTTAAGACGTGTTCTATTTCGAACCGGTTGGCATTTGCGCAAATTCAAAATTCGTGTCTAATTTCCAAATAATTGTTGACTGTACCTTTTAAAAAAAAAAAGGAGAGCCAAATAGATAATATGCCTATCCACGCACTTACATAAACTATTAAATAAAAAGCTGCCAATGTTAATTTTGAGAGTTCGTTAAAAGTTTGTGATATAAAATTTGAGCGCGACTTGAATGAAATTTCAACAAATTCGAACAGAAACCAAAATAAAAAAAAAAACCAAAAAAAAAAAACCGGCTCCCCCGAGAGTTGGCAGAAAGCATCATTAAGCCAAGTCGAAACGAATAAACCCACGAGACGCACGCATAATAAAAACTTAATATTTCAAGCATTTCGATTTTCGATTCGAAACAAAATCCAAAAATAGAAATGATAGCATGTCCCCAATCGCACATAAATACGTATATAATATATACATATTCTAATATAATTTTATGCTAATTTCGACCTAATCATTTCAGCATCGGGCATCAGCACCGAGGAGAGATCAATCATCTTGCAGGAACACAATCGCCTCAGGCAGCTTGTTGCCACCGGACGCTATCCAGGCCAGCCGGGTGCCGAGAATATGCGGGAGATCGTCTGGGACGATGAGCTGGCAGCCCGCGCCCAGCAATGGGCCGACAATTGTCAGTTTCGACACGATCCGCATCGCACAATAAGTAAGTTATTTCTAAATATTTGCTGCCTGCAATCCATGTGGTGAAGTTCCTCTCCCTCCCCCCAAAACAAATACATAAAATAAATGATATGCCGCCAATCTGACAGCCGGCAGCTGGTTTTTGTGATTTGCATGTTTTCAGCTTGAATCGATGGTAAAGTATCATCTATATACATTCCGGGCACTTGGTCGACTGCATGCTAAAACACTAAAACTAACCCCAGTACATCCCTCATCTAGTTATAGCAATAGTATTGTTGTAGTTCTAAAAGTCTCTTAAGATACTTCTGGTATACTTATATATTTATGCCCATTCTATAATAGATCGCTTTACCATGGGCCAAAATCTGGCTGTTATATGGAGCACTGCACCGCTAGAAGCGGAAGATGGAGACTTTCCATCGCGCATTCAGAACTGGTTCAATGAGGTACAAAAGTATTCCTTTGGCGATGCCTGGTCACCCAAGACTGGCCACTACTCACAGCTAGTTTGGGGTGAGACCAGCCTGGTGGGCTGCGGCTTTGCCGAGTACAAGGACAACATTAAGTTCAATAAGCTTTACGTGTGCAACTATGGACCTGGGTAAGCACGCACACACAATATTACTAAGGGGCAATCACTTAATATATTCTCTTCTCTTCCAATTTATGCAGTGGCAACGTTGTCGGCTACAATCCCTACGAGGTGGGCAAACCGTCGTGTGCTACATACGGCATGAAACCCTCGGCACGGTATCAGGGTCTGTGCGCCGCACCCGGCGCTTCACAGGCGTCTACAAATAGCGTCTACGGTGGCAACACAATTGAAACGTATGAGTACAGCTTCAGCTCAGCTAGTAGCAACAGCAACAGCAACAACAACAACAATAAGCCGACTAACAACATTAACAAGAGCCTATTAGCAAACAGCAAGAGCAACAACCGAATTCAAAATAACCCCAATCAACACTCCTACTCCTCCTCCTCCCAATTTCCCAAACAGACAGCACCGGCGACGACGTCCAGTGGCAGCTCCTTTGGCACCAAGACACGTGGCGGCAGTCAGGCCTTTACCACGGAGAATAATCAGCAGCAGCAGCAGCACTCCGGCAGGTATAAGCACAAGCTCGAGGCGTATCGGCCCAGCGCTGCGGAGTTTGAGAAGTCCGTACAAAAACATACCATACTACGCACCTTTATAGAGCAGAGTCCCAACGAGCAGCAGCAGCAGACGGTTGGGGAATTCGAGCAGCCTGCCAAGGATGCAGCGGATGCAGCCAGCGGCACCCCAAAGCCCAGTCGGGGTTGGAGCATTTTGACCTGGCGTGGTTAGATATGTGAATTGGTCTTTCCCACTGCCAGCCGGCACTGCCATGCACCCAATATGCCGCAGAATGTATTAGCTCACCCGCCCAGTAATTACTACTATGTAGTGTCATTAGAACCATCTTCGATTCTGAGTTTCCCAACTACCATCGCATAGCTTCTCGCGTACTCGTTCTATATACATATATATAGCGAATAATAGGCTCTTAAACTTATTTAAACATTCCCATAAACAGATTGCCATATGATGTAACATACATTGTTTTTTAGCATTATGATTTGCTTACTTTGCAATTTAATTACATATTTTTTAAATTATTTATATATATTGTATTATTGGATAACATCGAAAAGACCTCCATCGTTCAGTCAAGCAACTACCGAATGTTTGTATCAAATATTTGTAACAAAATTGCAAATTTAAGTTTTCGTTTTTAATCGGCGCCTAACAACAACTAGTTAGTTATAGTATTGTGTTCAAGCAAATAAAAACAGCAAGATGATATTTTAAAGAAAACTGTGATTATTTATTTATTATCATGATAAGCCTTATAATTTTTTATTACGCAACAGCTCATCGTGTAAACACTAAAGTAACTGAGAGAGTCAAAAAATAATATATAGGCTAAACTTTTACCATGTTTACATATTTTCTGGTCTACACGTATACAAATCATAAATTTCAGCTTGAAAACATGACAATTTACCATATTTTCAAAATTGTTTATGTAGTTTTTATATTTTTATATAAACACATATTCATTCAGTACATTGCATAATAAAGCAGGTTTTAATTATGTCTTTAACAGACATATTTTTAGCATGCTTACATATTTGCATAGTTTTACGTACTCACATCTTAATTCATCGTGTAAACACTAAAGCAACAAAGAAATTAAAGCGCCATATAGACTAATTTGATTAGCTAAATTATTGTCATTTTTACATAATAAAATGTTTGCACGTGCTGAAATCTTTATTACTTTATGTCAGCCTTAATTACGTGGACATTGTAAGATATTGGCTTAAAGAGTTTGGTTTGTAGTCAAAAAGGGTAATTATATTTTTTTTGGTTTACACTTAACTAAATCTCAAAAAAAATACAGAATAGGAGTTTACTCACTTAATCACTTAATCACTAACTTCATCGTGTAAACATACATTCTAAAGCTTTAAGAGCACGAAAATTCATGCCGAGAGACTGCTCATGCGCGTGAGAGAGTGAGAGAGAGAGAGAGAGAGAGAGAGAGAGAAAGTGAGAGCTCTCACTCAAATAGGGCGTTTGCTGAATACTTGCTGAATATGCGGCCAAAAATGAGAGAGCAAAAAGGAGAGAGAGGAGAGAGAGAGAGAGCTTCACTGATAAGAACTACTAAGCCGGGACTGGGGGGCTTAAAGCTATGGTCTAGGAACTATTAATGGAAAAAAGCTATGCATACATATCCTTGGACAAATATACTCTTATATAGTGTAGAGTATAGAGTGTATAGAAGGAATAGAGTATAGATTATGAAGTATTGCTGTATAGAGGATAAGTATAGAGGATAGATGGGAAGTCCATCATTTACATGATAGTGAAGTGAATAGAACAATGTTAAGAGAATATAAAAAGTATGAGGAATAAAGTATATTCATACTCTATAAAGTCTACAGAAAACCGGATTTGATCACAAAAATCTAGGTTTTTATCTTTAAACCATAAACTGAACTTTGAACTGAAGAAATATTCCAAAAAACCACAGGCTTAATAGAACGGGTTCTTTAAAAAAACAAAACTTACAAAATTCATTAGAAAAATTAAATTATTTCAATTTATTTAAAAAAAAAATAGAAAAAAAGGCTTAAATCAAAACCAATATGGTAAGCCAGCCAGACCTCAAGGCGAAGCATAGCGACTGGCATATAGAGTATAGAGTGCAGCCTTGAGCACTCTTTTTGTTGTTCACAGTGTTTTGTCTATGAAGCACACACAAAAGGCCAATCAAAGTTGCGATTAAGCCCGTACGTTATCTAAATACTTTTGGCCAAGCTTTATTTTCCGTATTTGTTGATGTTTTTGCTTTTGTTTTTGTTTTATTGTAATTGTGCAGTTTATCTGCGTGTTAGCTGTCCCCAACGTGGCAGACCTATTACACTCTTACATGCTCATAAATGGCTATAAATTTTGAGGGCACACACACACGCACACACGCACACACACACAATGGGTGTCAATTTCATGTGTGACACGAAATTAAGATAGGCGAGCACTGCTGTCAACTGTTGTATCGGTATCATAGGACATATGACAGCAATAAAACATACAAAGGGTTGAGCTTTACGGCCTGTGCGAATATGGAAATGCTCTATATTGTGGAATTTGTTAATTTGTACACACACACACGCATACACCCCGCCAGTTTATTATGGTTACTTCTGTTGTCCGAATGCGAATGCACTTCATCATCTTGAGCAGTCACAGAGGCTGGCAGCGTGAAATTAACTGCCAGCGAGTCCTTCTTGGCAGGACAACTTTTATTTATACACGGCCAATGCCATACATTAACTTATGACGCGCACTGTGCCAGACAAAGTGTCCTTTGCTGTCACACCAAGTAAGACGGCGTCGGGACGCGGATTGGAATGCCTCAGCGCCAGCCAGCAAATGTGCCGTGGCCGGAAAATGGGAAACTTTTCTTTTAATACAAATGTCAATATACTGCAGCTGTCGCATCCCGAAAATGCAATATTTGAGCGTATGCGTGACCGGTTTCCATTGTGAAGAAATAAAATTAAATAGCCTGGCGTAATTAAGCAGCCTCAATTGTTACTCGAGCTGCCAACTTGCGAAATCTCCGACAGACAAAAGGGCTGTAAAACCGCTGGCCCGCATTAACGGGGTTTATGAATATCAACGCATTAATTTCATTTCCCTTCATTTTCTTATCCTTTTGGGATTCTTATTTTTATACCAAGTAAAAAAGCGCACAAAGGGTGTTTTATCATATTTTCGATTCACGGCTCGAACCAACTATCGATTCGGATTCATTTTAAACCCTGAGCTTGCACATCCATGAGTCAATATTCTTTTAATTGATTCGGTAGGTTTGCAGCCTAAATTCTCTGATTATATTCTTTTCGAAGAGCTATGTGCATTTTGGTTCAGCTTGAACAGGGTATTTCATGTTCTAGCAAATAAGCTTGTAATTTCCAGTTGCCCAAAGCCTTTGCCAAATGTCGCATTTACTTGCGACATTAAAGAATATCCCCATCTTACCAAATGGCCAAACCAAATGTTTCCTTCCACACAACCAAAAAATTCGTTTTGCAAAGCTACAAAATTGAAGTAAAATCTGGTTCTCGTTGGAGCATTACATATTTTGCAGCATGCATGAAAAACCCTTAGCATACTTTTAAGCATCACAATTAAATATTTAACATTGCACAATGATTCCATTGTTACAATTTACCATCCCATTTATTGTGAGTGATAAAAGTCTGGGAAGAACCTTATTTCTTACAACAGATAAGAAAACTGACCGGGCAAAGAAGATGCTTTGATGTATTGGAATATTAAATATCCATACATATTTTTTTTTCAAATTTGCAATTCGAAAAAGAAGAACAAAAACAAGAACGTGAACCAAACAAATAAATCTTTTAATTTAGTACAAATTATTTCCAATTATATAAAAAAATATTTCTTTTAATATAGCATAAATTATGTCCAATTACAAGAACTTAGGTTTCCTGTAGTTCGAACCCAAGAAAGAGGGATGGCAAAACGGGAAAACCGATTCGGGCTCAGTTTATTGGGACTGTGAGCCTGTATGCCGCAGTCGGTTGCACGCAACAGCAACTTTCGTATTTGTTTTGTTGTTTTGGCTACCAAAACAAAAAAATAAAAAATTGAAAATGTTTTGCATTTGAAAGAAGTATACTAGGTGCGACTTATGGGGCTTTAAGCATATATCTTAAATGCTTTATTTACCTGTGCGGCATAATGAGACACGCGATAAATGCATATTAGCTCTTAGGCCTGTGCGTATCTTAATTGTAGTTTTAAAGAATAAGGCTGCAGAGTCCGCTCAAAAAAGATATGGCAAGTGCTTATTAATTAGATTTACTTGGAAATTCCCGAGTGAAAGTCATCTTTTTTTTTTTAAGATATTTACTGTTCCTAGGGCAATAAAAATAGTGTGCAAAGAACAAATAAACAAGTAAAAGTGCTTTAGTTGGGTGTGCCCAACTAGTAGATACCCTGAAGCCAGCACCGAGCTACCTTTACAAACACTCTAGATGTGCTTCTTCCTCAGTGTTACACTATGAGAAATGCATTCTAAATGTGCGGAAGAAGCAAAGCGCAAATTGCATGTTTTCTTATGTTATGTGTGAAAGGGAGAATCTTTGAGGTATGTGAAAATAACAGAATGTCGAGATTTATGTTTGCAAATAGACTTTTTTCCGAGTAATCATCTAACCCTTGTAATTTCCTTGTTACTTACGGTCACACGGATAAACAGTCAAAGATATATATCGAGTTTTACTATGTGGCTGTGGCTATTATACCCCCTTGAGCGCATTGCAAATGGGTAAACAAGTTATCTTTAATGACTGTGTGAGTTGAAAGTAAGATTCTGGAAAATTACGTAAGCAGCTGCGATTTCTTTGGCTTGTAGATAGTAGGTGAGATATAAAATGTGCCTGTTTGGCCTCATCGGAATTCATTCAATGAAAATCTTCTAATCAAGCTTCAGTATGTTTGCAACTCCACTGCGCCAGCTGAGCAGCCTGAACCGTTCCAGCATAGTGGGCCAGGAGCAAGCGCAACTGTACGAGATTACCAACAAGGGATATGGCAAGGATGCGGTGAAAGTAATGCATATCAATCGCAAGGGTCCGGTGCACAGCATTCAGGAATTGGAGGTGGGCACACACCTGAAGCTCTACAGCAACAAGGACTATATGCTGGGTAACAACTCGGATATTGTGGCGACCGATTCGCAAAAGAACACCGTCTATCTGCTAGCCAAGAAACACGGCATCGAGAGTCCCGAAAAGTTTGCACTGATATTAGCCAAGCATTTTCTGAGCACATATGCGCACGTGGAAGAGGTACATGTCCATGTGGAGGCATATCCTTGGCAGCGCATGATCCAGGATGTCTCCAATAATATCGGCAATGGGTACTGCGAGAATAACTGTAATTCCAAATCGAATGGTAAATGTCAGCTGCACAACCACGCCTTCATCTTCACACCCACGGCGCAGCATTACTGCGATGTGATCCTGACGCGTCAAGGTAGGCACATATATGGTATGAGAGATGCCCTTCCTAACAAATCTTCTGCTTCCAGATCCCAAGCAGACTGTCATCAGTGGCATCAAGGGACTGCGCGTTCTGAAGACGACGCAATCATCATTTGTGAACTTTGTTGACGATGAGTTCCGCACGCTGGCGGATCAGTATGATCGCATCTTCAGCACCGTTGTGGAGTGCTCCTGGGAGTACTCGGATACGGAGTCGGTCAACTTTTTGGAGGCCTGGGAGACTGTCAAGGATATTGTGCTTCGCAACTTTGCCGGTGATCCAAGTGTTGGCATCCCCTCGCCCTCAGTGCAGCACACACTGTATCTCAGTGAGAAACAGGTTCTGGACGTACTGCCACAGGTGTCAGTCGTCTCAATGACAATGCCCAACAAGCACTATTTCAATTTCGATACGAAACCATTTCAACAATTGGTGCCAGGGGAGAACAATGAGGTCTTCATACCGACCGACAAGCCACATGGCACCATCTATGCTCAACTCTCACGTAAAAGTCTCAAAAGCCATCTCTAATATTGAGCGGTATATGCAAGATGTTCTGAGATTTTACGCTGGGTGCTGAGATATCCTGGGATAGCTACATAGATCCTCATAATATTATATTTGCAATAGACACAAATCAATAAATTTATATTTTAAATTATGTATTAAAATTCGGACAATATTTTTTTGTTGGTTCGGTATTAAAAGTCTTTTAATTGCAACTAATTTTCTGTTGCTTTGCTTAGCAACTTTTATCAGCGTGAGTTTTGGTTAATGATAGCTTAATTTAAATATTTACAATGTATATGTTTATGTACATGTTAATTTTACTTCATTGGATATGTCTTTTAAAGTCTCCTTCTTCTTCGCCTCCCTAGCAGGTTCCTTGCCAGGACGGTAGGGTGATTGCGGAGCTTAAATAGGTAGCTTGCTGCTTGTTGGTTAATAACGTCTCCTACCATAGGAACCCTAAAATCCTTTGCGATGTCTCGTGTGCGAATATACCATTCGGCTCCAGAGATTTTTCGCAAGGTCTTGGCCTGGATGATGCGAAGTTTGTAAAGGTGCGTCTTCGCGGCAATTCCGTCGGATAACATGAAAAATAAATAGCTGAAATCTTTTTCAATTTATTTTTTGCTTAACTTAAAATTAAATTCCAACAAACTATTTTTATTTACTTTACAATCAGCCTACAAAAACAATTTTGTTGGACTTCCCGCATTTTTGCTGAGTAACAAAAGAACTCCAAATACACTTTTTCAATTTGGAATTCGATTTTGAAAAGCTCAGCTTTTGGGATGATAATTCAGTGATTGTAACTTGAGGTCAATAAAGCCGCATTGCCCTGGGCAAATCATAAAAGCCGAATACTATGCTAATCAATTTATATATGCACTTGCTTCACTTCGAAACGAACTAGAAATCATTGTAATGAAAGAATATAGATAAATTTAAAAAAAAAGAAAAGAAAGATATATATATATATATATAAATACTATGTATTTATGTGCATAGAAGCGATTGAAGGCAAAGTATATATTGAAAAAGTTTTTCAATTTCAGTAAAGCTTTTATTTAACATCAAAAGATATCACACACACACGCACAGAGACCAACCACACACACACACACACACACCACACACTTGCAGCCAATGCAAAACTATGTATATTGTTCTGAAAGAGAAGTCCCCACACACTCACACTCACACACACACCAAATTAGAAATAGAAAACCCAGCAACAAAACGAAAGCTGAAGCAATAAGCGAAAATGAAATGAAAAATCATGAATGGCCAACAAGCGGAAGAGGGGCTGCAGTGTACGTGAGGGGGGTGGTAGGGCAGCTGGCCTGGTGCCGGGTTACAGCGATATCAAACCGAAAAAAAAACATTTTGCGAGTATTACGAGTATTGGTAGCATTCAGGCAAAACCGGAGTTTTGCACGCCCGACGCGGTTGGCCGTGAAATGGAAAGCGCAGGGCAGCCATAAGCTGAAAATTACCAAAACCAAGCACTGCTTTATAGAATGGACAAGTACCCCGATGCGCCACCCCTAACCCTCAGCCATAAACCCTGCCAATTCCAGATAAAAATCGAAATATCAAGAGTTTTGCAGACGAAGCGTTAGATGCGAATTTAAAAGTGAACTCTTTTATTTATGTTAGGTCTGTGTGGGAAGCTCTGTTCAAAATCATCTGCTCTGCATTTTACGGATTAGTTTTAAGTCCACTTTTTCATTACCGAAATGGAAGAGCTCGCGTAGCTTTTATTGTAATATTTAAAATAGGGCAAATAGAAACCATGTACTTGCATTGCATTGATATTCGATTTTTCTTTTCCCAGTCATAAATCAAATTCAACTTTAAAGTGCTTCAAAAACTCTTAAGTTCGGTTATAATCTTGATGTTTATAAACGAAAGTTTCTTGTTAATCATATTACTCAGCATGCGCCTTAAATAAATAAAAACAGATAAACAATTAAAAAGTATTATCTAGTTTTTGAATGCTTGATAAGCAGATACCCGATACAATGTTGCACTGTGAGATGTCAAAAAGAAGATATATTAAAATAATTTTATCAGTCGCAACGCCACCTATCGGTTTCATTTGTCAATCTGAACCATCAAAGAACCTTATTTGGTCAACAATGAATATGATCAGCTATAGCGTCGGGCATGCCCCTCTGTTTCCCTAACCCACAACACTGATAAAAAATCGGCATGCACTTGAATCGGTATCTATATGAGACAAGAGATAACTTCCAAAAATAGTAGGGTCTTTGCACATTGTCGTGTTTGGTTAAGATTTGTATTCCGAGGATTTGTACTGAGTAAAGCGAGCAGCAACTGATAAACGCCAGTAGATGAATAAATAAACTAGTCGTGTAATACTTAGTATTTCACCTAGTTTAGGTAGACTTCTCTAAAAATATCCAGAAATCTTGTAAGCATTGTAATCTTAGATTAGTTTACTCTAAGATCACATTTGAGCTAAAAATAGAACCAAAGGTTAGCTGTAAAATCGTTTTTTTCTACCTTTTTTCAGTAAAAACCTTACCATGCGAATTTTCACATAAATCTTTTTGCGGACTGATTTTAAGAGTGGCCTAAATACAAACACACATATGTATTTTAGTGTGACCTGTAAATCAAATCATATTAAAATGCAAATGTGCAGCTCACATTTCTACTTCGATCTCTGGCTGAAGCTCACACATAAAAGCAAGCAGTAAATTTTTAAAATTCAACATCATGGCCCAGAAAATTGCACAATAAGCCAAAAGCTACCCTTGGCTAGGGGTCTTCGTCAACAGGCAGTGTGCGGCGGGCGGCGGGCGACGCGCGGCGTTGTTGGGCAACCACCTGCCACCCACTGCCAGTTTCAATTGAGTCGGTTGTGCAAAATACATGCATATATGTACATACATTTACGTATACTTGAAACTCATCGTCAAATTTAGATCATTTGGGCAGCCCAGGAAGTGCTGGGCCAATCAGCAGAGCAATCAACACTATTATTGTATCTAATCAAAGCTCAACCACAGAAATTGTAACTGTAGATTAGCACGGCCAGTTGTGCCCTGCACTCCCCCCAACTCAATTGTGTATCCAAAATCCAAAAGCAGCATCAAACGGACAACCACGTAATCGTCTCGTGCGCTCATCAATAGATTTCGATTGGGATTGGGGATTGGATTGCTGAATTGGGCCCAGACAGGTTTTTTGAATGTCACATATATAGTTTTTGATTTAATGCAAGAATATAGTTCTGAATAAAGTCAGAGTCAATAATAACGTTAAACAGGAATTATTTTAAAATGTAAAACATTTGCGAGACGTGAAAATGTATAATTGAAACATTATTTTTAACTACATACGGGCTTGTTCATTTTGCAGTCAATTTTGAAGACCAAACAACCATTTGCTCTTAGCCAAGAGGCGCTCTCGTTGTTTTTCTTTGACTTTACGAGCAAAAGCAATTAAAATAAAATATGCAACTGCTCTTTGCAGCTCGAAGAACAGTTTAATACTGTCGGCGCTCGTTTACTGATTGTTTTGTAGGTGTTGAATATACTTTAAAAATACATTTTTATATTTATAGAAATATTTTCTTAAAATTGACATGTAGTTCCTTCATCAGCATCAAGAGTCAAGTATCCGTTGTTATGTCTGTTTTCATTAGAATTATTTTTTGTATTCAGCTAGTTCGTATGTGGGATTATTGTATCATATTGTTTCTACAGAAAAGAAGATAGAGTTGGGTGTTTGTATGTAAAACATTTTTTTTTTCAATACATCTTCAAGCAATTTGCAAGCTTTTTCCTACAGGATTCTTATGAGATATATGGTATTAATACGTCGACAATATGGGGTTCGTTTGAAGATAAATAATAAAAAATAATAAAATAATTAAAACACAACATATTATAAATAATGTTATAAAATTACGAATTGGAGATTGGGTATTTGAACTTTGATCTGCTGATGACATATATTCTCTCTTATTTTATCCATTTTTCTAACAACTTTGTAAGTTTGAATAAATCAATTATTTCAGGTCAAGGAATTTGCTTAAAAACAAGCTTAGTATAAATATGAACCCGTGTGAGCACACTTATTGTTGCATAGGTTCAAACATTTATTATTGAATATATTTATTTATTTTAATTATTTGCTGCTCTGATGATGGCAGTTGCTTAAACATATTTAGCAAATTGAAAACTTGTTAAACTGTAAACAATTGAGTTTCAATTGAGAAGCTAAGCGCTCGACTTGTCGTTGTTGCAGTTGTTGTTGTTGATGTGATTTGCTGGCCGCAAGTCTGCAGCGGAAGTTGCCATTGCTGCAACAAGAGGCAACAATTCAGCCCCAGACAAACCAAAACTTTTGTGGCTCTCATTACGCTTGTGCGTGTCTGAGTGTGTGTGTGTGTGTATGTGTGTTTGTATGTGTGTGTGTGTGCACACAATTTCTAAAGTGACGCAAGTGCGGCTGCCATTCTTCTGGCCCTTATTGTTGCAACTGTTGTTGCATGTGCATTGGCGTAATTAATTTGAAACGGCGACAAAGCGGATGCCCCTCTCGTCCGCAAAACCGTACCGCCCCGTACCACCCGTCCCGCCACGCGCCACGCCCACTGCCGATATGCTAATTGTGCTCATCCGCACTTACTTCCGGCAAATGCTGATGCTTTCATCTGCCTCAATGAACATTGATGGACCTGTCAACATACAAGTTAATAAAGTAAATAATTTAGCAACATTTATTTATATATTATTTAAATATTGCGCAGTCAAAATGTAAATTTTTTATGAGGCAAGCAACTTTATTGCTTTTAATATTTGCATTATTTCTCAATTTGCTGTGCAAATTTTTATATTGCAATCATTTCGTGCAGCTGCCGCACACAGAAGCGTCAACACACACACACCCATACTTATACACCACTCACACACGCACCCACACAAACATCTACCCCACAGCAATTGTTGTCACTTTCGAACGGCAGCTGCTTAAAATTCAATAAAAGAAAAGCGAGTGCCGCATGTAAATTGCGCCCAATAAAAGCCTTATTTAGGTACACAACATGTTGACAATATTATTTATACATGCATACCCAAACACACGCACACATGTACATATATACATATGTTAAAAATTATTGTTTTTACCTCAGCGCCTGGCAAACGTTTTTTTTTTGAGAAACATTCATTGAATTTTGCTTGAAGTGCAATCAAATTTTTTGAATATTTTTGCTTTAACTTTCACTTAACGAGCCTATGAAATTTATGTTATATTTATTTATTTTATTTATAACATTTCTTTAATATTTTAAATTCATTTAAAATTTTTATAATTTATATAATTAATAAACACATTTTAGTAGTTCTCCGACACGTCAGCAATTTGTATTACTTGAAATCCATTTGTTTTATTATATTTATTTTATCAAATTGTTAATCAATTTTACTGAAATTTAAGTAAGTTCTTTAAATTTACTTTCTAATAAAAATAAAATAGATAAAAAATGAATTTATAAATACTTAAATTTCACAAAAATGTTTAGTTTTCAATTTATGTTAACGCAATTGCAAATTTTCTTTGCCAAAACCTAATTTTTTTTTTTAAATTAAAATATATACAATTTTTACAGACTAACAAATGTTGTTAATCAAAAATCAAATTTCCTATTTTTAAGTGCTTCAAAAAGTGTGTGCAGTTTCCTTTTGACGCACGTAACTCTGTGTATACATATAAAATCATATGATTTGCCATTCAGCTCGCGTTTAATACATCAACATTTACAGCTGAAATAAGACAAAAGACACCCTTACCCACCCACACACAGCCACTCACACCCATTCACACTCTTACACTCGTTAGCCTTGTCAATTGTCACTGTTGCGCGTTGACTTTAAAATGTATTCTTTTGAAAGATTTGGGGTCCTACAGGAGGGTTCCGGACAGCAGCTGCTACCCACGAGAAGTGCTTTCAAGCTTTACGCACTAATGAAAAAGTTTTTATTGCCGCCACACACATGCCTGAACTTTGAAATTTTGAATTGCGCAACTACAATATGGTATATGGTACAGGTTCTGGTCGCATAATAAATGAACTGCTAAGAGGCGTGGCCAAGCAGCAGATGCCTCTAGAGATTGATGACAATCCGTCCAGAGACAAGAGCCGGCCAAGGCTTTCACATCTAATTAAAAACACAAGAGCTCCTCAAATCAACCAGCAAGCGGCGTCGGTTCCGACCCCAAGGAACCACAAACGACGCCCATTACTCATACGTTATAAACACATTAAAGCTGCCAGGCAGCACACACACAGGCATACACACACCCGCACACACGTGCACATATATATGTGAGTAGGAATAAAATCTAAACAATAATTATACATGCGAACCGCATCGGCCGAGCAACCTCAGTGCAGCATTGCCCCTTGTCAGACACATGTTCCGACGATAGCTCCCTGGAGAGGGCAACTGCGGGATTCGAGTCCATCGAAAGCCAGCAGCTGAGGCGGCGGCTGGCCATAAACGTAAGTGAATTAACCATTCAACTAACATTATGGCCATTAAATCATTTTTGCCAGCGCCCCATGCGACGCGTCGGACCCGGCAAAACGCAAGCAACCCCTGAACAGTGGGCGTATGGCACGCATTTACTTTTGGGGCGCAACCGCACTAAAAAGAACATGTGAACTAATTTTTTGCGCCTAGCCCCACTCTCCCAAGCCGTCCTCCTCTACACCGCCCTGCGTGTATTTTGCAATTGAAATTCAACTACAGAGTGTATGTGTAGGGTGTGTTGCGGGCGCTTCGGAAACAAAGTGTTTACAGCATTGCAATTAATGGCGCAGTGCACGCAATGCCCGCCGCCCTACCCCATACACCTCGTGCGGGGTGTGGCGCCACACAACACCATAAGGCATTTGGCTGCACTAGCTTAGCCAGGCTGACAACAAATAGCGCAGCAAAAAGGCGTGAAAATGTAAGTTTCATATCAACACTATACAGCACAGTGGGCGCTATCTATGACATGCAACATGGCTTTGTGGCAGCACAGCCAAGAATGCACTCAAAGGGAGTGCTAAACAATATTCATATGATTGAAAATTATTTACAAATTAAACACAATATGAATAACGTTATAAAGTTAACATTGCATTTGCCATTTTTGTGCATAATGCAAAACATAAAATAAAACAAAAATACAGAAAATTATAATTTTTAATATTTTTATTTTACTTTTTTTTTTTTAAATTTATTTTTGCATTATTTTTATTAACCAAATAACAGGAAAAAGGAGTTCAAAGAAAATAACTAAGAAGTTTGCATTAGAAAATTAAATTGTCATGTATGAATGTATTATTAAAATTTTTTATAATAAAATTAAGTTAAGTAAGTTAATCACGAAAGCCCCGACATTTTAAAATACTGTCATATCAAACAGTGAAGCCTCATTTAACAAGCACCTAAGGGAATACCTATTCGGCACACAGCTACTACGTGAGCAGCCCTGCTGCATACTTTAAGTCTTATAGATACTATAAACTCCCCCTTTCCGCACCTTACTTTGCGCTCACATATTTATTTTTATGGAAAAAAGGTGAAGTGAAATAAATTTGTTAACGAGCAGCGAACAAAATGAGCCGTAAAGCAATCAATTTGCCATGTGTTTTCATCCCAACTCATCTGAGCAAACGTACTCGTAAATGCAAATGTATTTATACAGCAGAAAATAATCTAGATATATCAAAATTGCAGACAGGTACTGGCGCAGGCACTGTAACAGACAGGCAGACGACGGGCAGACAGGCTGGTAGACAGACATAGATTTTAACAGATTTATTTTCATTTTTACATTTTAAGATTTGCTGATTTGCGATTCACGCCCGAGCCCGAGTGTAAATAACATTTTTGGAGGCACTGTTCAAATGTTGCTTTTGATAAATATGATAAATAATTGTAAATATTTGTTGTTGTGCGCACGTATGACACAGTAAATACGTAGCCCACACAGTGTCATTATATGACTAAATAAATAGAACAGCTCACACACACACATACACTCGCATACACTACATACACTACACATACGAAACGTGCTGCTGTCAACGTTTGTAATTTTTAATGGCAACTTCAATAAATTACAACACAAACTTTGGACACAATCTACGAGGTAAACAAGGCAAACGGCTCAAGTTGCGAACGAATATTTATGATGATCATAATAACAATAACATAAAATTATGGTAGTAAAGAGAGGGGTAAATTAAAAATGAAAGTAACCAAATTAAAGGCAACATAAATGTTTGTATAAGTAAACATTCAATAAAAAACAAGTTGCATCCCAGTTACCGGATTCAAACTCACAACCCCATTCAACCTTACCACCGCCTCATACTCCTCATCTATACCAAGGGGGATAACGACAAAATTTCTCAAAACATATCCTTGTCGTTCTGCAAATGACATATCGAGAAGTGATTTAGGTTTTAAACGTCATATATCCGCGCAGTATGTTGTGTTTATAGATCGGCGGAGCTATGTCATTTTCTAGCGTCATATCTATTAGCTGAAAATTAAAATGGAATTAAAATAACATCGATTATACATTTCTTAGCGAACGAACAATCGCAACTGCAATTCTAATTTCAAAGGAGTCATGGTATAATAATAAGTGTATTCGAATTAATGATGATAATAATATTATAAATATAGCAATGGTATTTTAAAGCACTCTAAATATTCTAAAAGAAATCATGTCAATAAATATATATATAATATATTACTATCTCTTGAACTATCACAATATACCTAACTCAATCTAATTTAAAAAAAAAAGAAAATCATTTCCCATGTCTGAATATGAAACGTAATTTATTGGCAGGCGCCGGACCCAAAGCAGAGTTACTCGAACGAAACCAAAAGATAAATTTAAAAAAAAATAATACGAATAAAAAACCGTGAACATTGCGAGCAAGAAAGAGTACAGTGGCAGCGGGAGGCCGAGATTGGGTATCTATAAAAACATTCCCCGTTGGCTTGACTCGAAATTGTCTGAAAATTAGTTCGAAGGGTGCATAAAATTATGGAAATGAAAATGTGAAGATGGGTGAGCGTGGTAATGCCAGCAGCATATGTTATCAATAGTAAGTAGTATAGTAGTATATATAGCCAATGCCTGTTGAGAATTTAATTGATTTTATTGGACTTTAATAGGAAGTGCTCGAAGGCATGCGCCACGGGTCGTATGCGTGTTGTGAAGCAGAAATATGAAAGGTACGAATATCGATGGGTGAAAAATCAAAACTGAATTCAGACAACATTTCATAACCTTTGCAGAGGGTACTATACTCTCGTCACGAAAAGTGTGATATATAAAAGAAGAAAGATCCTATCAGGTGTTTACCTGATAACTATGTCCCATAGGAAATGATTGGTCGGAAATGAGATTTTTATGTATAGAGAAATATATCACATAGAATATAGCAGACATTTCTGCAAGAGTATTTCATCTGCGGCGCGCTGAAGAAAGCTTCGCTCTCTTATCTGTTTTCGGCTGGTTTTCATTCCCATGAACGAAACATTTCCATAAGGACTTGGCTGTCAGTTGGTAATAGATAGAATAACTTTGCTGTTAGTTGAAAAAATTCAAGGACTAGGGCATTTCTAACAGGTGCAACGCATTCAACGTTGTTTTCAATTGCCATTGCCTGTGCTACTCTTAGTAGCCACAGAACTTGAAGAGAGAAGTTTGTCATCGATGATAAAAAAGTTCAATGGACCAGGATGTACATATATTGCATATATACATATACAACTTCACGTTATGCGAGCTGTTTATTAACAATGTTTACTTTCAATCTGGGACAAGTAGTTCGTGTAAAACTTGGAACTTAGTTAATGCTCCTTACCTCCGAGTTGATCTACGCAACTGCGCTCAAGGGTCACACCAGCCACAAAGTTCTTGGTTTAGTTGTTAGTTTGTTTACACGCCGGCAACTGTCTTGGCTTGCAAACAGCAAATTCCAGTTGAAAGTCAAAGCATTTGGCAAATTTAGCAAAGTTCGCTTCAGTTAACATGAGTATCATAGACATTTGCGCTTAACGGCCATTTCAGATGCCGTTCATATGTTAATGTATGTGCATTAGGCTAGAAAGGTGGAGCCTCTTTAGTTGCCTCTAATTAAAAGCCATGCACACAAACGCTTAAACCCACACACACACTCGCACACCTTTCCTCAGGCTGCATGACGTACAATTTAACACTGTCACGCATCGCTTCGTGTGGGCTTTTGTGTTCCAGCCTTTTTGGCCAGGTAAGGTAAGGCTAATCACTGAGGGTTTCGAGCATTTGCTTAACGAATGTGGGCCATCACACACATGGCAATTTTCCGCCCCCCAAGTTCCCGTTACCCACAATAGTCACAATTAGACTAATGAAAACCGCATCAGAACTATGTAATTTGATGCCCCATTTAGACCACGTATAGCTAGCCAGCGGCAGACACAACTGAAGAGCCCCTCTTTTTGGACCGTCTGTTTGTCTTATGGCTGAATTTGGCTTTTGCCAATTAAAATAAATTATTACACAATTTACACAGAAAAGGCAAACCCTGTCAAGAACGTCACACAATTACGCACATATTTTTAACGTTTTTACACAGCTACAATAACGACTTCAGAAATATTTTCCACGGCGCTTGTCACGAATGCCGCTGTTGCTTTTCCTCAGGGGAGGCAGAATGTAAAATGTAAAAGGTAAAATATAATGAAATGCTTTTAACAATCGATGTGCCTTGACAGACAGACAAACGATTTTTTCTCTTTATGCTGTCTGCCATTTGCGTAGTGCATTGCATTTGGCATTCACAATTATGTTATTATACCCTGTACATATAAGAAAATGTGTAAAAAATATGTAAAAAGTTGTACTTTGAAAACAACTTGGAACTCATCAGTAAATAATCTTTTTGGTACGTTTAACTGAACCAGTCGAGCAAGACTATTTCAAATTTTGATGCCGTTTTGTTGATAGTTAATCATGGTTGCAAAAAATCGATCAATATCCATTTCGATAATATTTAATCGATCTAGCCCCATTAGCTTTACCATATCTCGTATTGTAGGTTTTTAACTATTCGAAAAAACTTGTATTTTCATTTTTCTATAACTCTTTTTGTTTTGCCAAAATCGATAAAAAATAAATTTGTAACTTATACTACGACTATTAAAGTGAAAAACTGGATTACAGTTTTTCGATAATGTTCCCTGCATAACCTAAATCGATAAAAATATATTTGGTATTTAATTTAAAGTCGATCCACCCCATTTTCTTAGTATATTTCAAAGTATATATTAAAATTTGTTCAATTATTCAATTAAATTTGTTATGTCAGGTTTCGATAAATTTCCTATATGCCCAATGGACAAAAATAACTTTGTAATTTGATTTCCAATCGTAATCGAAGGATATAAAAACGAATAACTACCAGCAATATTCAAACTGTATACAGGGTATTTACTCTCGCCTAGAGCACTCTTACTTATGCCTTTCCGTTTTTTCTAGCGTTTAAATAATTTTTTCTTATTGACTGCGACAGTGAACGACGACAATGACGCACATTTTGATGGATTAAAAGTTAAATAGCTCTCCTAGACGCCCTGGTGTATGCAAGGAGCGAGTCAATGTGCCAGACATGCGTCGCATGACTTAAATGCCCAAAAAGTCAACCCAGCAAATTTTTCAAGTCAGCTCGTTGGCCACTAAAGGTCAAGTGAATGCAAAGAAGAAAAAAAGCATATGACTTAAATTAGAGCTTTTCAAATAGAGTTTAATTACAGTAAAACCTTTGCCAAATTAACAGACCGGAATACATAATGAAAACTTAAAATATTCACACAGTTATCCGTATATATAAGACCAGGTAATACTCAAACTGTCTTTAAGGACTTGCCTTAGAAACAGACTTTAAGGGTAAAAGCTGCTCTGGGACACGGAATTTTGGGTGAAGGGCACATAAAGCTGAACCTTATTCTATAAGCCATATATAAGCAGTATGTATATGGTAATCTTGAGTATAAACAGTTTGTATATTTTGGGACCTCAACTGCTTACCTTAGAATCTGCCAATTCCTGCTGAAGTGAAGAGGGGTCATTGGCCATGGCTAATGCATGCTGTGAATGGCAGCCATGACTTTTGGCCATGGCCAACGGCCATGTTGGAGCTCAACGTTTGCATTGTCTCGGGCTGCGTGTGTGTGCGGGCTGCCGTTAACTGTTGCGCCGGGCGGTTTTAATTGGATAATGCGGAGCGTTGAGTGGCAGCTAATTGCGGCGCATTAGGCTGCACATGGGGCCGGCAGCGTTTGGCTGGCGTCGCTTGGCTTTTGGCCCTGTAATTAGCCGCATTGGCAATTGAAGCAAGCGAGTTTGACTGGGCTACCAAAAGTTCTTTCAGAATTTGCTAATTTAATGGCACTTTTTTTTTTATTTCTCAAAAGCTCTAACAAACGCCGTCTGACTCAAAGTTTAAGCGCTGTCAACGCCGGCCAAAGTCTGCGAACTGACAAAAACTTTTGCGGTGATAAGCGTCAAGTTACGCTGACTGCGACTTCGTTCGGCAGCAAGTCCTGGCTGTTATCCGTAGCTGAACTGTCTGTCCTGCATAGAAGTATGTAACAGTATTCCGTTTTTTTTTCTACCAATACCCTGTGCCAATTGGGTATGCATATCAAATTGATTCAGCTTTGCCCATTTATCTGTGTATATGTCAGTACGTATATGAGTACGTCTATAAAGATACAAAGAATGCCCTACATTTCATACGCAAATCAGCTTTTTGTCATGTTGTAGGAGCACTTCCCAATTGCCCACAATCGATATCTTATTTAATTTCTAATCGACCCACTTCCATTTTCTTAGCATATTTTAAAGTAGGAGTTATTCGAATAAAAATAGTATATTTATTATTAGTTTACTTTTAACGTTTGCCCAATATTGTTGAAATTCGACTTGTTGCCTAATTTCTAGTGGATCCATTTTCATTTT